AAAAAATCATTAAAATAAAAAATAAATCACACTAAATTAAAGTGATGATTTTGATTAATGTTGATACAAACTGTTGACAATTGTTTGTCATTTGCGTTCCACTTTTGCTCGCCATTCATGTTTGTCACTACAGAAAAGTCTTTCGAGACTTTCAGCTGCTGCAGTCGCGCAGTTAAAGGAAAGAGACGCCAAATCAATTGATTACTTTTGCGGGTAAATGAGTAATGTAAAGCAAATAATTATGTATGTACGTGTATGTAAATATGGCCCTGTGCTACCAACGGAATTGAGTATTTGTGTAATTACAGTGCTTCTCAAATGATTGAGTTATCAAATCTCATTTGAAGAGGAGCGTAATTTAGCTTTTGGCATTTGTTATAAATGATGTTGTGCCTGGTGACAATCCGAATGGGTTGCTTGTTAATATTATATCTTCATTTAGGCGTGTTTATTTTTTTAATTTAAGCAAAATAGTTGGCAGGGAATTGACGATAATGACATCTAGGGAGGATAAGATAAATTTTAAAATTTTTCAGGCACTTGGATTTTAGAGTTTTTTTTATTTTTCTTCCCTTTTTTTAATGTTAACTCAGTCACCTCGAACAAATATAATATGCAAAATGATTTTCCCACAAGATTTGTTATTTTGACTAGTAAAAACTACGCCAGTAATAAACATGAAAATTCGCTATAAAAATTTCATGGAAAATTCATCTTGACTGATGAGGTCCATTTCAACCTTGATGGTCAATATAATGCAACTGTGGCACGGAAAACGCAAGATTTATGGCTAAAAATCCTACCCATCCTCAACGTGTAACTGTTTGGTGCGGCTTATGAAGCTGGAGTAACAGTTATCGACAGATGATTAATGATTTTTTATGCTCGGAATCGGTTGGTATTGATCTTTACTTTCAACAAGACAGCGCTACGTACCGCACGAAACCATTGATGTTTTAAAGTTTCCACACCGTGTTATCTCTCGGAGAGGTGATCGCGATTGTGCATCAAAGGTTTTGTGTTTTAAAGCCATGTGACTTCTTCCTTTGCGGCCACCTGAAAGATAAAGTCAACGTCGACAGGTCAATGCTGATTCAAGATCTCAAAGATGGAACTCCTGACGCTAAGGAGGGCATACAGCAGCCACTGTGCGACTTGGTGATGGCATATTTCATAAAAAGTATACAGTACTATAAACGTAGCCTTGGCAGCCTTCTGGTTGATATTTTTTTATTTTTTTATTACTACTTGTATATATTCTTCTTCACATTGAAATAAACAACCGATCATTTAACTCAAAAAATGTCATTTTTCTTTGATTATCAAAATAACATCTCTTACTGGAAAACCCTGTACTTAGCTCTTCCTAAATGCAATGCTTAATTATCTTCTCAAAGACCTCGGAGTTAAGAGTGTTTAACAATTTTTTTTTACCGAAGGTCAATTATATTTGCATAATGGACGCTCATACTGGACGCTACAGCTAAGTCGTGCAGCAATTCCTGCATTAAATCAATAATGAGCCTAATTTGCTTCCAAAGTTCATAATAAGGGACGAGTAATGAGCGTACCGAGACTCTGAAGAACCAAGTCCTGAAGAGTATGCCTAAAAATTCTACCAAATATAAAAGTTTTGCTCAGTTTTTTTCAACGATTATCATGGTGTGCTTCATCAGTGGTACCCACCATAAGGTATCTTGAAATGAAGCTACTTTTGCGTGATGTCATGCGAAGAAACGGAAACCCCAATCGATAATTCTAGAAAAGACGTGCTCGACTATGACGGGGCAGCAATTGTCAGCATAAAAAACAACAAAGCGTTTGGCGGCGATGGCTTTCCGGTAGAATTGTGGAATATGAGCGAACAAAAGCAGACCCGACGATTTCGATCTAATCGATCGATAACCCACGATCTTCCTTTGACTAACCTTATAAAAATTGTAAATAATTTCAAATCTGGCGCTTTGTGTGAAAGATCAAATCCCACCCTTAACAAACAACGGATTGGACCTCATTAGTGGATCTGGTAAATCCACTTCTTGTTAGATATTTAAAATTCGCCAAAACCCCAGTAGAAAATAATCGTTACACATTATGCGTTACACATTATGCGTTACACATTATGCGTTACACATTATGCGTTACACATTATGTAATCGTTCAATCAACCGGCGCACTTCGGTCTTGGCTCCCAGATTATTTCGCCTACCTAGAGACCAACACTAACACCATTAGTAAATCCAGCGCAGAATCACTCTAGCCAACCTATGCTACTAAGCACTGAGTATGCAATTGAAATGTAAAGTTCACTCCCGACGAACCAAAACCAAACTCTACAAGTCCTTCATGATTTTCGGCCTGCTATATGGTACAGAAGCGTAGGCGGTACCTGCAGCCGGTGTATCGGTTTTGGGAGTTTTGAAAAGATTTTTGGTCCTTTGACTATTGTCAACGGCGAGTACCGTAGATTAGATTAGAGAAAGGAATATTTCAAATTTCAGCTCTCCATAAACCCACAGATATTCGACATGATATTCTTATCCATGAGATAGTTATACTCATACCTTAAGCTGATGCCACTGAGCATTTAAACGGTAAAAGGAAGTCTTTAGCCTGTAGGCATACTTTTACTCCCTACTCTGTATAGAAAAATAGGCAAGCATATTGAGGGTACACATTAACTAGGAACGTATTCATACCGGTACTACTGAGCCAAAACTTGATCAACAGACTGTTAAATGAGAGCCAGATGAACATCTCCTTATTTCGTAGGTGGATGATATAAATTAATAAATCAGCATGTCTTGAGACCCTCAAGAGGTTCGAGTTGTTGACCGACACTTCTTAACTTCATTGTAATTTTTGATCTAAGCAATTAAAAGCAAGCTTTCCATAACAACAATCGTGCGGAAACGACTCAGGAAAAAAACTTATGGATTGACTATGGATTACAAGCATGTTGGGAGGAAGAAAAAAATATTCACGTAGGTTTTGATGCAGGATTTTAGCCCTGAGATACCAACTCCAACGGTAGAATCCATCAGCACAAAAACCGGCTGGAAGAAAAGAGCGGTTATAGACCCATCCCAAGGGTATTCAGAATATTAAAGAAAATGTTCTGTTAAAGTTTTTTAAGAGTCTGAATGAGAACTTTATGTATGTAATAAATACCAATTTGTGCTGTGCATTCTGATGTTTTTTCAACAATTGAAGGGATCATAAGTTTATTCTAAGCCGCCAGGGAATGACCGATGGATTTTTATGAGGAGTTTTAATTTTCATTTCAAAAATAAACTCGGAGGGCTTCACATAGCCTGCCGAGGAGCGACCAAAATTAGAAAAATTAATTTTCTACTATTTTAGATTTTGCTTCAGCCAAGACTCAAACCCGGGTATACGGAACGCCAGCATGGAATGGCAACCACTCAGCTTTTGCGGCTGCCTTATGATTTAGATTGTAAAACAGAAAAGCTTTAAGAGGTTACAAATGTCTTGAAACCTCAAAAAATTAATTTTTTTATAATTTTTTGTATAAAAGCACTAAGTGTCAGGAATATTTTCCCCAAGTTTCAAGTCGATCGAGATGAAACTGTAGAAATTAGAGAGTTTTATAACCCGCCGTTTTTGTCATGGCTTGATTGATGGCGAAACTTTCAACGCTTAGTCAAAATTTCTCAACGACTATGGAAACGATCGAGTCCAAACTTTCCACACTTCTTTTAAGCATATTTTTGTACTCCCTGAACGAAGAATTTATTTTATCTTTAATTCCAACTCATTTTACAAGCCAATATGTACATACTCGTACGAGGCCTCGTATGTGACCTAATTTTATGTAAAAAACGCTGCAAAAAATTCAATTTTTAATTTTTTTAAATTTGCTTCCTTCAGGGACAAGTGAAATTCATCTACTTTAAGAAAAAATTTGGATTTTTGATTTCAGATAAAAATTGTAACCATGACTACCCCGAAAGCACTTTCTTGTGGACGGCCTACTACACGACACTGCCAATGCCTTCACTTATACTATTTTTCGTTAAAATTTTCATCAAAAGTTGTCCATATATTGTACTTTTATATGTAAACAAAATAAATTGCATACTTTATTTAGTATCTTTAAAAAAAAATAGAGAAAATAAGCATTTTTTTGGCCTTCAAGACCTATGTAACCCCTTTAGTCTTCAAATGAGGACTTTAAGACTGGAAAAGACATAGACAAGCTACAGAACAAATCGAATATAGTATAAATTTATGGTCACACATCTTAACTCTCCCAGTGCATTTATATATATATGTGCAAAAGTGAACCAGGACGAAGAAATTTGTTAAGCCAGCTAAGGCTACGAAGGTATCCCTTATTAGGCTGCCAGTCTTCTGTTTGCCTTCATACGCCTTTGTTTATTCAACATGTTAACGCCGCACCTACCATATAATACTTTTACTCATATGTGAATTCATATGCACCCGTATGTATGTATGTATAATTGTATGTGGATGTATGTATGTATGCTCTGACTGGTAGACGTTCGGGAGTAATAAGTCTGTCTGTTAATCCTCGAAAATTGATTATATTCTTAAGAATCTTACTACTGTCATTCATTCTCAGCTACCGTTTTTACTACTACTACTACTACAATACGTTTCCTATATCCCTTTTCTTGGTGTATATATACAAGATATATATGTATGTACCTCTGACTTTTGTGCGAAAATCATTTGTGGGGATTTCAGTTAAATATAACAATTGCAAATCACTGTTAGGTGTTGTTTGTTTATCCTCAAAAATGTATATACTCATATGTATATAGTATATACAGCCACAGGAAAAAGTGCTATAAAGTCATTGTATTCTTATTGTTGAATTTCTTATGATTATTATATTCGTATGTGCAATTGTATGAACTTACCTACACACATACAACATGTACATGCAATTGTTTACCCACTGACCAATGTGTGCTCTTAGCAGGATAAGAACTTAAATGGTTTTTATTGCTCACCTTCAGTGTTGCTTAGTGTTTTGTGCTAGTTTTATATTCCGCTCTTGTTGTTGTTCTTGCGCAGAAAAGGTCCGTCTCAGCACCTTTGTGGCTTCGCAAATGTAATTATTTCCCATCTAAGCCACATAAAAGCTGGATTATATTCAATTTTCGGTCTTTTAATGGCGCTGAAAGGGAAAAAGATCGGTCGGATATTCATTCGTATTTCTTATTAAGTAAATAAAAGAGAGAAATGTGATTTTTTTTGTTTTTTTCTTTTTTTTTTGGTTGTAAGTCGTCATATATGAGTTTATCAGCTGTCAAAAAATATATATTTTATTTATTTTTATTCGTAAAAAATAAAAAATTATGATTTGAAAAATGAATTACTTGGCGAAAATTGGCAAATTTAGAGATAAGTTTGTTTTCCGTGATCTCCGAAACTACCCAGAAGATTATATTGAGAATGAGCCAGTTTATTTTTATGATTCCTGTGAAGATTTGAACGACTTGGTGCGACTTACTTAAGGCTTTATGTATGAGGTTATTTACGTAGCTTAACAGAAAGACTGCGCTTATCTCCGTGATCTGAACCATGAACTCTTATTCTTCTTTATTGGCGTTGGCACCGCTTACGCGATAATAGCCGAAACAATATTAGCGTGCCGTACCTCTCTTCTTTTCGTTGTCTGGGGCCAGTTGGATATACCAAGTGAAGCTAGGTAACTCTCCACCAGATCCTTCCAACGGAGTGGAGGTCTTCCACTTCCTCTGCTTACACCAACAGGTACTGCATTGAATACTTTCAAAGCTGGAGTGCTGACCATCGACACGTCGCACGTTCGGTGAATGTGTACCCACAACGAGATGGTCACTCATCCAGATTTTCATATTTGGAATGATGATAATCACAGGACAACTTTTGAGAACCCATAAAATTCTCAAGAAGTCACTGTTTGGTGTACTTTAAGGGCAGAGAGAAAAATGTTTCTTCAAAAATAAGCCGGTGAATGCAGTAATAGTCAATGCAAATTCTTGATTAGGAACTTTTTCAAGCTTGTACTGAAAGATTTTGATGCTCTACGACCTTTGATTCCAACAAGGTTCATTTATTGAATGGAACTTTTGGTGAACGCATTATTTCGCGTCGAAAGCTTCTACCTTGGTCTCCAAAGCTGTGCGATATAACAACGCTGCACTACCTTTTTGTGGGGTTATGGGAAACCGCTTGTCTACGCAGAGACGATTGACGCCTTGGAAGAGAATATTCGGCGCATTATGGCTGAAGTGGAAGAAAATTGAGCCTCTTAGCGTGCTAGAGCCGTCATGTCGTGGTCACTTATATTTGTAATAAAATTCGATAACAGTAAATTATATGCGCTTTATTTCTTCTAAATCATCTAAAAAAGCGTGTTTTAAAATCCAAATAAAATAATGTCACTTCAAAGACTTGCCGACCAACAAGAAATAAATATTTATTGTGAATTTAGAGCATTTAATTAATTAACAAAAGCAATGTTTGCCATATTGCTTCCATGTAACATTATTTACTTACAGTTATTTAAAAATATATGCACATATGCCTGGCTTCCTAATCTGTGACTATTTACAATATGTATTTTTTATATACATACATATGTACGAATTTATATATTCTACTTTAGATCACACGACCTTCTTTCTGAACTTTTATACGAATTAAAACAATTTATTTTCTTAACTTCTTTTAATTTGCCGACAAAAGAGTCAACAACAAGCTATTTACATACTAATGCTCATATGCCTACAAAGAGAGGTAAGAAAGGTACGGACCTCTCGTTATCAGAAAACTCGCAGCAAATCATTGCAAGTAACGCTCCACGCTTGCGCCAGCAAAGGTTATGATTTAACTAAAAATATATACATATAAATGCCTGCCGTTATAGTCATTTTATTTACCGTTTATTTCTTCCTTTTCGCCCCCCAATGTTAATTTTTATTTTTAACAACCACACCTACGCCTTTAGACGCACGCTGAAGGCGCTAAAAGATGCTGTTTTCAATTTTCTGCCGTTAAACTGCGTAAATATTTGTGCAAGCACAGAGACATTACAACGTCATGCACATGCATGTATTGTACATATGTAGGGATATGAAGCTGCACGAAGACGACATTGTAGCAAATATTGGAGGCTGCTTAAGCGGCAAGCGCTTTGAAAATGTATGTACAAGCGACATTCCATGGGAGATAAGGAAAAAATGAAATTTACAAACTAATGTAAATAAAAACGTTGCAGGTATGTTAGCCGCTTAACGCAGCCACCAGTATATACATATAAAAAAAGGAAATTCAAACAAATGCAACAACAAATAACGGCTCAACAGTAGTCAACAATAATTTGTCGCTTTTCTTTGAATTAACGTTTTTTTTGTAAATTTATTTATTTGTTTGCAGTTTCCCTTCACGATTTTTCATTTATTTTCCCTTACTGTATTCCACTTCTGAATTATTTGGTTATTTTTTATACGTTTGTTGATTCTTATACGCTACGTTTACAAGTCACCTGTAAAAGGTGTAAGTCACATCAAAGGGAATGTGTGCACAAGTATTAGTTTTGCTCCACTTAATTTTTGTTTCTTATTTTATATTTTTTACTTTTGTTTGCACACCTTACATACAACAACTACAAGCGGTATATATTGTATATTTGAAAAGTCAAGGAAAAGGAACAGTGTGCGCCCTTTGCCACTGCGGTTTCTGTGATTTTGTAAGAGCTTTGATTTTAATACTTTTAATCTATTGTAATATTTTTTATTGTATTGTATTATATTTACTTTTTTACAAACCAAAAGGTGTTGCACAATTTCTCTCAATTATTTTCCCATTAACAGCGCGGCATATCAAAGGCACAGAATAAGGAAATTTAATTAAATCTGAGCTACAGTTATGAAAACATTTCCACTACTGTGTGCTCGCTTAAAAAAGAAAAAAGCTTTGTGTTTGTATTAATATAAGTATGTATGTCATTATTTGAAAATTTAGTCCGTTGTTGCAGTTACCAAGCTCATCGATCCTTGTCACATTAAAATTCGATTTCAGCGAGCCTTCGCCGTCATCTCCTGTGTCTCTGATAGTTTTATAAAAATTTAATTAAAACAAATACATAGATTTATTCAACTGTCCGCTCGTCCATCAGTTAGACGTTCGTCTAAGTCGTATCTAATCCTTGAAGCAGCTGTGCAGGGTATTTTTAGGGGATAAATTATGTTTTTGCTTCAGCCGCGATGAAGCTGGCTCTGCAACACTCGTACATATGTCTGCATGTAAAGGGATATCCATTACGAGTTGTCAAAAGGACAGAGTTATATTTCGACATCAACCAAACGTGTTTTGTTTTAGTTATAAGTCAGGCATTTATCAAAAAACGTTGCAACGTTTCTTGCTTTAAGAGGAAATTATGATGAACTTAATCATCCAACTATTTCTGCACTTCTCACACGGTGAATACGTATATCAGCGAATTTCTCATATTTGAGGCTCAGAGAATGCTTAAATAATTGAAAAGAAGCCATTACACCCAAAAAACCAACCTACTATCTGGTGCGCTCATTGGTTTGGACCCTAATTCTTTGAAACGACCACAGCGAGTCTGTCACTCGGTAATTGGGAGCGTAATGATCGTATTATATATGTATACATATTTGTAACCGCTGAAGCGATTTTCGATTGATCTCCTCCTCTAATTTGTGGTTTTGCGTCTTTCTGTTTTTCCAACAAATGGAGGGAACTACAGTTTATACTAAGCCGCCACCAAATGGCAGATGGTTTTATAACGAGGAGCTTTATTTCATGACAGAAATACACACCCTCTCGCAGGGCGACCTCAATTAGAAAATTTAGCTTAATTTTTTATTTAAATTCATTTTCCATAACTTTTGGGATGCTAGTACGACACCAGGTTTTGAACACTTGGCTACCGCGGCAGTCGTATGATAACTGACCTTTTTTTTTTTTTGCCTGCAAGTGAATAAGACGACTTGAACAATATTTGGTTTTAACAAGATGGTGCCACATGCCACATAACACGAGCAGGTATGGTTTTTTTCCGAAAGAAACTTCCCGAACGTGTAACCACTTGCCCTGGCAATGTCAATTGGCCACCGAGATCGTGCGATTCGAGATAGTTGTGCGTATTTGTGCGGAGTGACCTTTAACTTTTGGCCACTTATAACTGAGATGCCGCCAAAAGTGATCGAAAATTACCTCCAACGGATCGGTTTACGAAAATTCACGAAGCGAGTGTAATACAAAATACCAAGGATAAAACTTTATAATAAAAAAAACAAATTTAATGAAGATAAATTATTTTAAAAGCATTTTAATTACGTTTATTTTCGAAACCGCAAAATGCATAACCCTTCATATTCGCATTTTTTTAATGATTTCCTACCACCACTTTTTAATTTAACACACATCTTCACTCCATCAAAAAGAACGCCTACAAACGTACACATCTAATCGATCTTTCATCAGCTCACAGGCAATAGCAATTGCAAATATCCATTCAAACAAGAATAATCTAGCAACACTACACATTTGTATTATTATTCAAGAAAAACACAATTTTATTAAAGTAATTCGTCATTTTTCACCGACAACTTCAAATGATACGCGCAAAATTAGAAATTATAACTGAACAAGCAACGAGCAGGAGAGAATGAATGTCAAAGGAAAGAGTAGTGGTTTGTGAGAATAAAGATTGGAGTGGCTGCAAAACTGTTACCAAACTCAGTGGTGCGTGGTATTAAAGATGATTTTTAGCATAACGAAGGGAATTCGGGAATGTGAAAATATTCTTGCCAAATACTTTGCATTAAAAATTTAATATTTTAAACTAACACTCTTGCATTTGGTGAAGTACCATTGCAACTACATAACTACATACACATGTAAGTAAATATGAGACATTTCTACTTCTTCTATTTCCGCAAATTATAATTTATGTGCGAAATTTTCACTTTTTTTCCTACCTTCGAAGACAGAAGCCAGGCGCAGCGCTGAAAGAAAGCAGATCAAGTACAAAAAATACAACAAATATGAGTAACCGTTGTACATACAGTTTCACTAACGCATTATCAGAAGTTTGCACGCTTCCATAGTGTGTGTTGATATGTACAATCAGTTAACCACAGGACATTTTAGAGCATAAATCTTAACTTGAGGCATATGAGAACGAAGGAAATTGAAGATGAACATACATACATATATACATACATACATGCAAAGATGTAGCAAAATTTCGAGAAAATTCTGTTTAAAGGACAGACATTGAGAAGATTTAAGACTAAATGATCAGTTACACAATCACAATTGGGTCCCAGTAGTCGAGTGTTTAGAAATACATGTGTTCGAACCTTGACAAGACCAACATCTAAAATTATAAAATATTAATTTACAAAAAAAAGTGAATTGTTCTAAATGCGGTGACCTCTCGGCTGGGAATGTCAGCCACTGCGTGAGTTTTACTGGCTTGAAATGACGACCAGAAAGTTTCCGGATATCGTTTTTTTTGATATTCGCGGTTTGGTTCATCATGAGTTCGTTACAGTGGGACAGACGGTGTATTATTTGAGCGTTTTGAGGTGTTTGCGCGAAAACATCCCTCGTAAACAGCCGGAATTGCGAGCCAACAATTCATTTATTTTTCCTGACGATTATGCGCAATCGCACCGCGCTGTAGTTGTGAACGATTTTAAGATCAAAAACTTGTTCAATACCATCGATCCACCAACGTATTCCCGGATTTGGTCCCATGCGACTTTGTTTTTTGTTTCCAAAACTCGAGTTACCACTTTGTGGAACCCGCTTCGACTCCTTTGAGGCCGTAAAAGAAAATACGCAGAAGGAACTGAAGGCGATCCCAGACATCGGTTACACGGCACGTTTCGATGATTGAAAAAAAAAGTTGGCATATGTCTATCATTTTGAAGACGACCAAATAAATATTGGTGAAGATTACAAATTTTTCATTTTATTTACAATTACCGGAAACCTTCTGGTCTTAATGTATATCGGGCCATAAATTTTCCGCAAAACCTTTCTCTCAAAAACTTCAAACCCCGAACCATCATATAGCGGTAGGAGAATGATGAGCGATTTGAAGAGTTTGGACTTTGTTCGTCTAGAGAGAATCTCACTGTTCAACTGCCTACTTTTATCAAAGTAATACTTGGCATGAGGGAATTTGCCGGTTATGTTGGTTTTTAGGTAAAAAAAAAAAATGCATTAAAAACTTCTCCAGGGAATGTCCACCACTTCGACTGTATTTCGGACATGAAATAAAGGCTCCTCGAAAAAAATCCATCAGCCGTTCAGAGGCGGCTTAGAATAACCTGAGTTTCGGGCCATTTTTTGGGAAAACATCAAGATGGACACTGCAAATTGGAGAAGTAGCTCGGCGATTCAGCGGTTATAAGGCGCCAATTATATAGTGTATGTATCAATTCTAACCTAGTTGGCAGCCCAACACTCTTTCAAGAGATGAGTGAATCGGAAAAGCTAGCTAGTATTTGGTTTCAACAACCCAACAAAGGCATGAAGTAGAATTACAATTACTTAACAGTGCAGTAACTGCCTGGCATTGGTTATAGGTAGGAAGGTGTCTCTATCGATGTGGGTCCAGCAAATGTAAGCATATTATTATAACCCGATGTCGACCCGATCAATTAGCTTCACTGTTCATCCATTTGGCTAACCTTAAAAATTATATGTTTTTCTTAGACAGAACATTAAAGAAGATAGATTCCACGAACTGGAGACGAACTGGTGGCCGTGAAATCGGCCTCCATAACAGCTGAACTTTTGGCTTGAAAAATGCAGCAATGATTGAATAACCTGAAAAAGAAACCACTACAAACTCTTCCATAGAGCTTCGACCCATCTTTGGTGTGTCTTAGTTATCGTTCTATTCTTCGCTTTATGTGATTTGCGACGTAAAGTTGTGACTGATACCAGTTGATATGAAACTATACCTTTACCCGTTGACCTAAACAGGGTTAGGTCGCTGAAAGGATGACAGCCTTTGGTCGGATAAAATCCGTGTCAACCGACTGTCTTCCCTCTGGTCCGATCCAGTCGAAACAGAACGCTTCCTGGACATAGATGAGCTCGGTGATTTAGATTGATTATCTTGCCCCTAAGCGAGGTTAACGAACCGCTACAACAACAAGAAAGTATACCTTTCGAAGATTTTCGAGTGTGCAAATTGATTATTTAATTGGCGATTGTAATCTCCACATATCCTACAGTTTATGTTAAGCCACTTCCGAACGGCCGATAAATTTTGATGAGCAGACTTTTTATATGAAGTCAGAAATACCCTCGGAGGGCTTAACAGTCCCTGCTGAAAATCAACCGCAACCGCTTCGAGCGCCACCTAGCCGGACACGCGTTTTGAAGAAAATCAAAATGGGCTGTCTATAAACGACATAGCTCGGCCACACTGTAGCCATGTCTCCGGGAGAGGAAGTAATAAAATATTTATTATTAGTTAATAGAAAGAAAAAAGAAAGGAAACGTCCCTTCAGAGGTCGCGAAAGATGAAAATATGAGGTGTCTTATGGACAATCCTAAAGTGGACGAAAGGATATTATAACTCTGCCATCGCTCAGCATAGAAAAATTTTACATAATAAAGCTTAGAATTTTTTCAATTTTTATTATTGTTTTTCTTTTTGCACTAATAGTTACTTGGACCATTGCGACTAATCAAGTTATCTCCACTACCACGCAACAAACCAATATTATCCAAATTATTAAGAGCCATTTCCTTGGCATCATCGTCCAACACGGTCTCCGGCCAGTATTCCATATTCGTTGTCGCTCTCATTTTTCGAAAAGACTCGGCTATATTTTCATCAAGCATACGATCAACGATATTGCCCTCCTCCAGTATGTGACGCATTTTCAGTTCTTCCGCTCTAATTTGACTTTGTTGCAGCGCATCCGGAACGCTTGTTGCGCCGTTTTCAGCTTGCACCATTGGGTCACCATCGTTGTTGGTAAAAAATTGTGCCACTTTCTCACGTTGATCGCCCATTTTGCATAGCGCACAACGTTTTTCCATTAGACGCTGCTTCATTTGCTGCAATGATATGCGCTCTTGAGTGAGTAGCATGCGCTCCTGCGACAAATTCACCTCCATTTCACCTACCTCACTCATACGCTGCTGTAGTATTTGAAGTTTAGCTCGGAAATTTTGTTCAGCCGTGCGTGCAGCCTCCAGCGCTTCTTGCGATTTATGCTCGGCCATGCGGAATGAGAGGGTTTCCTGTTGAAGTTCATCCTCTTTGGCGCGTAACGTGTTTTCCTTGTCCATGAGTTCACGTTTCTGTTGCTCTAACTTACGCAATGATTTGTGATAACGTTCGCGTTCCACATCTGCTTGGCGCGCGGCATCTTGTGCTACTTTCATAACGGCATCCATTTCTAAACGTTGCATCTCCACATCGTGACCGGATTGTAGTTTCTGTTCGGTCTCAATTTTAGTACGCTCCAAATAGACACGCGCCTTTTCCTCTTGAAGATCCACTAAAGCGCGTTGTGCCTCCGCTAGCTGCCGTTCCTTGAGATCGGCCAAACGTTTTTCATCACGCGCGATTTGCTCGCGCGCAAATTCTTTCTCTTTCTCAAAGGCCGCCTTCTCCGCCTCAAGTGCAGCCATGCGTTGACGCAGCAACCAATTTTCTTCAGCTGAATCTTTCGACAGCTTATTCAGTTGTTGTTCCAAGGTGCTAACCAAGATCATTAGCCGCTTTTTCTCCTCATCCGCCGTTTCCTCGTTCATCTTCAAGCGTCGCTCTGCGTCTTCCAGGCGTTTTTCACGTGCAGTTAGCTTTTTCTCTCTTTCTTTGTGTTGCAACTCTAGTCTTGAGTTGACATCATCGCGTAGGCTCTGTAAACCATCACTAAGATTTTCTAAATTACTTGAAGCCGCCTTCAGTGTTTCCATGTAAGAGCCATTTTCTTGTATAGCCGCGAATTCGAGCATTTTAGCCTGTCTCACATTATCCAGCATGCGTCGGTGTTCATCTCTTAACATGTCTAGGTCATCATCATGAGATTTCTTCAATTTACGTAGCTCATCTTCGTGATCCTGTTTCAAAGCGCCGATATCGGTTTCATAATCAGATTTTAGACGAGTCTTTTCACTATCCAACGCGTCCAACTTTTGTGCGTAGTTTTTCGTAAGCTCCTCCAGTTCTGTTTTTAAGCGCGTTTCTATGGAATGCGCTTGGTTTTCGACGACCTCCAACTGTTTCTTATAAGAACGCTCAATTAATTCGATTTCACGTTCATAGTTCACTTTTTGATTTGCCACGAGCTCTTCCAAACGCAACTTCTCCAATTCCAAGCGCTTGTTGTCAGCTTCAAGTTGCACATGTACCATTATGCCATCTGACGGCGATGAAGGTCTACCATGACTGTTGCTGCGACTGCCGCTGTGACTGCGACTCTTTCCGTGTCGTTGCTCCAATGTACCACGCACGTCTTCGGACTTCTCTGGTGTGCCATCTGGTGAGCCCAGACGTTCACCCAAATTATCGAACGCAACTGCGGCTGCTGTTGATGCTGGCAGTGGCATTGTTGGCAGCATGGCTGGTTGTGACATTAGAAGCTGAATATGTGTGCTGATGCGCTGCTGTTGCATCTTTATGTGCTCCTCCATTTGCTGCTGCCGTTGCAATTGTTGTTCCATCAACGCCTGAAACTGCCGCTCCTGCTGTTGTAGTAGCGTCTCCTGTTTGCGTTGCATTTCGAGTAAAGCGCGCTCCTGAGCTTTCATTTGGGTCGCCAACGCGAGCTGAGATTCCTGCTGTTGTAGCGCTGTATAGGCGTTTTTCATTTCCATATTGTGCGCATTCAGCAGCAGTATATTTTTTGCTGTGCTGCCGCCAGATGTTGCAGGAGTCGCAATTTGTTCTGTTACGCGCTCTGCGTTTTCATGTATTTCAGCGTGTTGCGCCAAAGTTGCGGGCCAATCATTATCGGGTAGTTTTAGAATGTCTATAGTTTCGCGCGCTGTACTGGCAGTTGTTGTAAGCGAAGTTGTTGTTGGCGGTTTTGATATGTGCGCGGGGGAATCTGGTATATTATCAATTTTTGCAACACCCTCCGCTTCTGTGTTCAAACCCAGCCAGTCTGCAGTGGTGCCACGTTTCCTAGCTTTTGGCGTAGACATGCCAGAAATAGAAGGCTCTTTATCACGTTCTTTAGCTTGTGCGCCGAAAAGTCCTAAGGGATCGACCGTCATTGCATTCGATGCACTTGAACTTCGCCGTCCCGCTGAAGTTTTTGGGCGTGGCTGAGTTAGTAGTACATTTGAGGTATCCGTGGTAGTGTCAGTGGACTGACGGGAAATTACTGGTTTTTCCGTGTCACGTCGCCCAGTCGTTGGTTGTGCAGTCGCAGGTCGTTTGGATTCACTAACACCGGAGCTTGCAAATAAATCGTCCAATAAATTTAACTTGCCGGCGGCTTTTGGTTTTTGTGGATCGAAACCCAAATCATCATCATCCTCATCATCATTTTGTGTGAAATCTGTGGTTGGCTTTGTCTGCGACTTGGATGGTGTATTTGTTATTACGGTTGTTGTTGGCGTTGACACAGCTTGGCGTGTTTTAGGCACTGGCACTGGCGGAACTGCTTCACTCTCCTCTTTAATCCCAAATAAATCGTCTAACTTATTTTTAGTTTTATTTACACGATTCGTCGGTTTTTTGTTAGCTGGATTATCAAAGAAGGTATCATTGTCCAGACTATTATCGCTAAGCAAATCGGCCAATGGATCGTCGCTAAAGTTCATATCTGACAAAGATTGACGTCGATCGCATAATATTTTTACACCGAAAAAAGATAATAAAAATGTTATGTAGGTGTTACTTAGAAAAAAAAAGTAAATTCTTTCTTGAAGTTTTTGAAATGTGCGGAAGTCTGATACATGTAATGTATTATCATGCGTAAGTGCGAATCTTTTGTGAGCTAAAAGATGGCGACAGCAGAGGTCACAATCGTTCACCTAAAAGCCTATGTAAGTAAAAAGAAATGTGATGATAACTTACCAGCAAATATTTTCACCGCTACCGGGACATCAGTAAGAACAGCATTTTATCCCTTAATTACGTTATTTATGCACTAAATTTGCGAAATATAATAAAAATTAACGCGGAACTACCGACTAATCGAAATTAGTAAATTGTTTGGTACGCAAAAATGACTAACTGTTTCCTAGCAACGTTTGAGAGCCACAGTAAGAGATTGTTTAATTGAACACACTCCGGCATGCAGTAGTTCTCCAATTGCTCGGATCAGCTGTTTAACCTAAAAAATAACAAAAACAAAACAGTAAATAATAAATATTACGAGTGTGCTGCTTTGACTTTGAAAGAATTTAATAACTAATTAACAGCAATAACATTTTTATTTATTAAAAGCAATGTACCGTGTAATACACAAAATAAGAGCAGATTTTTTACGCTTTGCTCGTCTTCGCTACCAATCGACCAATGGGAAAAGTGGCGCAGATGCTGGCGAATCAGCGCGAAAAAAACGATCAAAGTCAACATTATACTATTTAACGGCTGGTGGAATATTTGCGGCCGGTGCCAGTTATGCGGCAGTGCCCCTATATCGCATGTTCTGCCAAGTGAGTATAAAATCGATTTGTTATATATGTATGTACACACAAGTCTACTGTACATAGGCATACAGCTATGGAGGTACAACTACGCAGGGACATGACGCAGATAAGGTAGAGACGATGGAAAAAATTGACGATCGCATATTGAAAATACGCTTTAATGCGGATATTGCTGCATCGATGCGTTGGAATTTTAAACCACAACAATATGAAATCAAAGTAGTACCAGGAGAAACAGCTCTAGCATTCTACACTGCACGCAATCCAACGGATCATCCAGTAATTGGTATTAGCACGTATAATGTACTGCCATTCGAAGCTGGGGCTTACTTTAATAAAATACAATGCTTCTGTTTTGAAGAACAGCAACTGAATCCACACGAAGAGGTAGGTTACTAATCGCTTTCTTAGTTCAAAAATTCAAAAAAACAATTGTATACTTTTAGGTGGATATGCCTGTATTTTTCTATATCGATCCCGAATATACAAAGGATCCGAAACTGGAAAATGTAGATACGATAACGCTATCGTATACGTTCTTCGAAGCCAAAGAAGGTCTGAAGCTTCAAATGCCCAGCTACGTACGGCCGCATGTAGCGTGATTGATATTCTGTTATAATTTATAGTATTTTAAAAAAATTAAAAAATGATTTGTTAATTGTATCTGACTCTATTTTCTTTTAATAATAATTCCCGTGTATGTAAAATAAATAAAGTAAAAAATATACAAAAGTGCTTTCCTTGCCTTAAGTAATCCCAACCGAGGTACGCCTACTTTTAGCACGTTCTAATATTATTAACTTTTTTCTAAAAATTTAAAAATATCAACTAAATTCTGTCAATGCAACCCTACTGCAGTAACAGTTTTAAAGCCACTGCATATCAAACACATGTTTTTCCAGTATTCTTTTATTTGCTTCCTGCATTGCGTTTCCAACAACAAATACACATCAAATTTGGATTTGTTTATGATAAGAAGCGTCTAATTTCCATTTCAACTATATACATACATATGCATGTATATACGGTTTCTATATTGCGGTTTCCAGTTGCTGTTGTTCGCTACAGCTTCTGATGCTTACTTTAAATAATTTGTGTCACCACTACGAAGTAATTAAAAATCTCATATTTAAATAGATTTTAGGAGCGATTCAAATTTATCGCCTCAGAACGTTCTGTGTTGTTGGGAGTGAACGTACACAGAAATTAGTGCTGATAGTGATTTAAACGAACATCTTGGTCATCATCATGGCGACATGCAGTTTTATATGTAAAGTCACCATATTCATTTGGATATGTTTTATGCTGAACAGTCTTTCTTGCGAGGTGCAGCCGGGGCAAGAAGCACAGAAACCTAAGCCCGCTAGGCGTTATCCTACAGTGTTGATCCCACTTTTGGTACGGAACAAAGCACATATCCTTCCGTTATTCTTAACATATTTTCAAAATATTGGTTTTCCTAAGAAGGATATTGCTTTATGGTAAGTTAAAGTGCATATGTACATACACTCATACATACATATCTATGTATATGAATGTAGTATATCTGCATATACAAATTAAATGTTACTTATTCCAATTGTCGGTTGAAAAACTACTCTTATCTATTTATAGGATACGTTCAGATCACAACAGCGACTCAAGCACAGAAATATTAGAAAATTGGCTTCGCGACAATGCTGATTTATATTTTAGTGTAGATTTTGAGCACGATGATAGTGTCCAACGTTATCAAAATGAGAGTACACCGAACGACTGGCCTCTCGAACGCTTTAATCACATCATACAACTGAAAGAAGAAGCGCTGGCATATGGTAGAGAGAAACATGCTGATTATATTTTTGTAATTATGAATACATAGAATTTGTGCATATGTATCCTTGACTTATTTCTACACCTATTATTTTCTTGTAGTTCCTGGATATTGATGTATTAATAACGCACAGTAACACTCTACTCCATTTGATTCGTCTTAACAAAGATGTTGTGGCACCAATGTTGCTTTCCGAAGGACTCTATTCAAATTTTTGGTGCGCAATGACACCGGATTACTACTATCAACGTACCGATGAATACAAAGAGATATACAATGTAAATAAGGAAGGCGTATTTCGTGTACCAATGGTCCATAGTGCAGTGCTTATAAGATGGACATATTTTACGAAATATTCTTTAACTTTTGATCGTAGAACACTAATCAGGTTAGAAGAAGTTAATATAAATGGTCTCAAGGAATACCAAAGGTGTCGTACATACGATGGACCTGTAGATGATATCATAGTTTTTGCTGTAGCGGCAAATTGTACAAGCGTGGAAATGTACGTCAGCAACATATTGCCATACGGCTATATTATGCAGCCACTAGATGTGAATGATGGATTGGATGTCGACAAACAGCAGTTGATAAATTTACGTGCAAATATAGTAAATGATTTAGGTGGCGTGATTCCATTAGACGAGCATTTCGACAAGTACATTTATCCCAAAAAGTGAGTAGAAATCAAGCAAGAAAAACTGTAAAACCTGCTCCTACTATTATTATTATAACTAAACTTTGCTTTAACTGTGATGCCGAATAACTAGGGATATATGTTTAATATCTAAATGGTTTTAACTTTTCAGAACAAATATTACATTAGACCATATATACATGATAAATCTTATAAGGCGTCCACATCGTAGGGATAAAATGTTTAAGCTTTTCGAAGAGATAGGCCTGGATGTTGAGCACTTCCCTGCTGTTGATGGAAAGTATGTAATTAATTATTAAATATTTATAAGCGCGCTTATATAATAAATATTTTTAGACGACTAACACCTGAATTGCTCGAAGCTGATGGTATAAAATTCATGCCCGGTTACGAAGACCCTTACAATCATCGGAAAATGACAATGGGCGAAGTGGGCTGCTTTTTAAGCCACTATCGTATTTGGGAGAAAATCGTTGCGAAACAACAAAAAGAAGTACTAATTCTAGAAGACGACGTACGTTTCCAGCCATATTTCAAAGAAAATGCTGAACGTGTGCTCTCACAAATACGCAAAATTGTTAAATATGATTTAGTGTAAGAGAACATTTATAAAATGATTATAGAGTTTTATATGAAAAATTTTACTTCTCCACTTTTCTTATATTGGTTTCTATTTTAGGTACTTTGGTCGCAAGCGATTGAAGGATGAAGACGAGCCTAAAGTGGAAGGTACGGAAAATCTTGTACACATTGGTTACTCCTATTGGACACTTGGATACGTTATATCACTAGAAGGTGCACGTAAACTTCTGGCAGCCAATCCGTTGAAAAATCTATTGCCAGTTGATGAATTTTTGCCCATCATGTATGATCGTCATCCAAATGAAACTTGGAAATCATACTTCTTCCAACGTGATTTGTGGGCATTTAGCGCTGCACCTTTATTACTCTACCCCACTCATTATACCGGCGAAAAGGGTTATATCTCAGATACGGAAGATTCTGAAGTGACCTTAACAGCAAAAACCAATAATGCACACTTGAAAAGCGATCGTGAACTGGAATTTCCCATACCTGCAGAAACTGAAACCAAGCAGCAGGAGACGACAAAAGAGACACAAGAAAAAGACGATTTTTTGGATTTAAACAGTCCTGAAATGGAGGAACTTCTGTTCCTAATGAAACACCGCAATGAACTTTGAGTACAATAGAATTAAATAAGCCAACTACTTTAGTATAGTAAGATTTTTAACATTACTGCCAATTTCATTGCAACTATTACGTAAATGTGTAAGGTGCATGGAATTTAACATTTGTGCTTTTATGAGTTATCCTATTAATGTGCCTTACTAGCTGTAACAAATATTATAATATCCTGGCGGATGAAAGGAACTATTATCCTAACAGTTGTAATTCGATTCTTTGAATTCCATTTTTTACTCAACTCTATTTGTACACTAACTCGAATATTTATATATATTAATTTTTTTAAATACTCATATATATCTTATTAACCGTTTTGAATATGATAGAGAACTTGTTTAGTCTTTCTCTTAGCGAATCATTAAAAAACAACATAATGGAAGAACAGCCTACATGGCATACATTAAAAAATATATGAAAAATGAATTTATAATTTTCATATAAAACTGCAAAGCTGTAAAATTAAGTAAACAGGTTAACTTTTATTATGTTATATTGCTTTCATTAGTAAAAAGCTTGATAACAGGTTTGTTGAATATGATATGAAAAAAAGTATTAAGCTTTTTCAATATTTTCTAAAGCAGCCTAATTTCTTTGTAATAAAGCTTCATGTAATATTTTTGTATACTTATTTAGTTATAATTATTACTTGCTCCTAAAGTTAATAGCTACATACATATATTTACACGTCAATAATAATTTGTTGTCCTATAGCCAAAGTAACTTTATGCCAAATATTATAAGCACAAAAGCACTTAATAAAGGAAACGAAATGAAAGTAATAATAATTCTGTCGTTGTTATTGTTGTTGTTGTAACCGCAAAATATTCCCCGAATTGATTTTCGGCCAATATTGCGAGAGTGACAGTTCTTGGTCGGATAAAATTCGGGTCGTTTCGGGATTAAGACCCGACTGTTGCGGGAACTATTGGATTTTACTCACCTCTCTCTCGGTAAATTCTTAAGCTCCTAACCCACAGAGACCAATAATAATTCAGTTTATGAAATGATTTGAGGGAGTGGAAATTGCTGGCAGAATTCAAATTATCTAAAGCGTCATAATATGAAGATACGAATTATAAAAAACCTAGGATGAGCTCAGCTAGCCTTGGCGAAAGAGCCTCGCAGCTTTTATGGACATTTGAACGAAGCTCGTAGGTATAATTTCATATACCTATATTAATCCTTTGTCGGTAACAGACAGATCTGACGACTATTGCATTTAGCTGATTGTTCAAATATGTAACTTCGTATCATAATTCTCACAAATAAGCATCTAAAAACATGAAATTTATAGTGTGCTGCTCAAAAATCGGGAATGAGAAATCATTACAATTGTACAACTGTGCTCATGATTATTCGTATAAGTGATTTTGAATCTTATTTATTATTACATTTCATATATGTATATATGTATGAATGCGCTTAAATATAAAAGTTCACAAACAAACATACAAACAAATTGCAACTATTTGCTCGAAGAACTTTTTAAAATATATATTTTTTTTTTTTTTTTATTGTATAAATATAATTGTAACAGATTGCCAACCGTATTTGCAATTATAATTATATCCATTAATCTGCAACTATTAAATCAGTCATCTAACAGCGCACATGCCCAATCGCTAGCCAGCGCGCCTTAATGTGTGCATATGATTGCGAGCAAAATATATTTACATACACATTTACATATGTATGTACATATAACAAAATTTATAGTCGCCAGTTACAAGCAGGCAAATCGTGCACAGAATTAATGAGGAAGCGAAATTTTTTTTAGAAAATATGACATTTCATTTAACACGTTCGCCGCACTGATGGGCGCTCACAGCATGACTTGTTGTAAATTTTGACGAGTGTTAAAATAGCAAAATAATTGTGAAAAGTTACATAAACTCCCTGCATGGATTAATGCAATTATACTGTATATTATATATAATTTTAGCTTTATAACCGCAGAAACGATATCCGGCCGAGTTTCTCAACCAATTTGTAGTGTGCGTCCTAATGTATATTTCCAACAAATGACGGACTAAAGCATTTTTATGAGGAACTTTTTTATTCCTTGGCAGAAATACACTCGTAGGGCGCTCGATGTACCCTGTGGAGGGGCAAGCACAAATAGAAAAATAAATTTTCTTTAATTTAGAGAACTCGAACCTTAGCCTTCCGAATGCTAGTACGCTCTACTAATCACTCGGCGAATGCGGTCGCAATGTAATTGCTAACATGCATTTATATTCCATTTTTAAATTTATTTTAATGCAAAACACCTAAAACTACTTAATCACGTTTAGTTGGTGGCTAAATTTTGTATGTACATATATAAATAACTGCTATTTGGCATTGACTTTGACCGCTGCATCACGAGTTAATGCACCATGTAAAAGGTAACAAAAGCCACAATAGCCATAAGTGTTTTCAAGAGAAATAAGAACACAAAACTGCAAAGAACTTGTTTGGCTGTAAGCCAAAGGTGCATCGTCTAAATGGCAATTGATAGTTGTTGGACACCCAAGCTGAAGGTAGGAAAAATATACACAAATATTTTTTTTGTATATTTCTGCACCAATGATGCACTTCTAGGTTTAGTTTATGCGAAATTGTAAAAATACTAAAGACTTGTGAAGCAAACTTCTGTGGTACTAGAGACTAGCAGCAGAGTTGTATTTACTTAAGTACCTGCTTTGATTAGCCATGGTTGTTGTATGTGCACAAACTCATACATATGTATGTATGTATGTATAAATTATTTACATCTGCATTTAAATGTATGTAAATACAAAAACTGACAGCACGTGAACTCGACTTTTTTGTTTCAGTTGGAAATCTGAAAACTGGTTTTCAGGCACAAATGTCATACTAACAAAGCAAAAACCTACGCAAACTACACTGTGCTTCAAATTGTTGGGTTTGGTGAAATGATAGTAGTATCAGATCAAATTGCTTAATGCTAATGGCGAAAATTTGTTTTCAGTGTAGAAATAGACCAACATAATATTTTTAATATATTAAAAAAGGCGCAGATATGCATTTACATACATACGTATGTATATAAATAATTTCTTTCTAGATATAACCTATTAAAATTTGCTTTTGCCTATAATCTTTGATATTAATCAAATTTCGTTTTTTTTTTTTAATTTTTTTTGCGCTCTAGGAAATTGAAAGTAAATAATTATTGATCGTACCTATAATATGCAGTGAAAAATTCTTGCCCACTTTCGCTGTCATCAACTTGCCGGGTATTCAGTGAAATGCTTTTAGATGAAAATAGGAATTAATTCATAACTAAAACTAAAATTTCAAATGCAAGTATGTACATATGTGAATGCTGCTATGATTAAATATATATGTACGCACTTTCTGAAATAAATTTTTCCTCTTTATATAAATACCAAATTATTATTCCTTAAAGCGCTCTTCCTATTTTTGCATTATAAAAATGGGAATAATCGAAATTAATATTTGGCTTCAATATTTAACTTTCTTAAAAGCTTAGAAAAATGTGTCTATGCTGATGTTTTCCGCTATTTACCGTTTTGTATACACACATACTCATAAATTCTACTTTCTACACAGTCCTTGTGCTGTTTGACGTCATAGGAGTCAATTTCAACGACATCACTGTCAATTCTGTACACTATTTTCCACTTGAAATTGTCAGTTATAAATTCTTAGATGCCTAAAAGATATTAAGTGCTTTATTTTCATATGTTTATACTTTCCTTTCCGTCATTAGGCCTGGAAACGGCTGAATTTCACTACTCGAAAGTTTACGAATTGTGTGCTTCATTTTGTATTAGTATGGCTATGTAGTATGGTTCTCAGACTTCATAATATTCGAAAGTATTCAAAAGTAAATATGAATATGAATGAAATAATCAATTGAGAGTAGACAAAATTGTTTTCTTAATAAGAAAAAAGCGGGTCAGATATATGGGACACAGAGAGAACGACTAGTATAGAGAGGAAAGTTTTATTGGGAGGCTTAGTGCGAATTCCTCAAGACAAAAAGAAGAAATGTTGTTTTATTAAGTAGACTGTCCTATCAGAGTAGATTTGATACTAAACAAATGCTGTTTACATAAAATTAGTAACGTATTAGTCTTTAAATTTCTATGACTATCGTTTTACAAACGCCGATCGGCATTTAGCTTTATTGACTGTCAATCCATGGTGATATCCAGATCAGTAAAACGATGAGCCTGTATCCAAATTATAGCTATCTATTGTGTAAGTGTCTGTCTGTGCGGCACATAGCTTAAAATTAAAATTTCTTAAAATTTAAGGCTGAAAAATTTTTAATTTACAAATAGTGAAAACAAAATCGGACCCAAATGGCTACTACCGAAGAAACTTTAATGGAATCTGAAATGGAATTTTTAAGCACTTCTCTTTGAGTGCGATCATACATACACATGTATAAATGATCAGTAGTATGGACTTTTAACTTTTTCTAATACCCCTTACATGCTATTACAGCATTTAATTGATTCTTTCGGCATGGGAAATCTCATATCGCTTCGCAACAAATCTCCAATGCAATACAATTAAAATGATTTAATCCGATAAATATACAGAAGGCAAATTTGTTGAACGAAAACTGCATATTAAAGTTAAAAAGCTAAAATTAAATTAATCAGCCATTTTTCTAAGAAAGTTTTAAGTATCTGCTTGCTGATTGGCACAAAGTGTGCAAGTAATTTCAACTTAATTGAAGGTGGAAACGAAAAGCAATCATAGCTATTGTCTCAGTAATTAACTACTTTAATTTTCTATAATAATCGAATTGTTAATCTCATTATAGATTTTTCAATTACACAAACTATTAACTAAAAAGGAAAAATTTACAGCACGTGTTATGAGTGATTTCTGATCTTTGATTGTGCTTGAAACTGATTTCAGTTTAATATTCGATCAAAAAAAAAACGAACAGCGCCATTGTGAATTTCGCTTGCTTAAGTTGTTCACAATAGTTATGTGCGGTGAGTTAATAATTAATAAATGTAAATAAAAAAAGGTATTAAATCATTTGTGATTCGATAATTCGTTAGACTGCCGGACTTATTGAAAGAGGTCTATAGCACAACGCTACCAAAGCATGCTACCAACATCCTCTGACTACGACCTTTTTTCTTTGGCGCCTGAAACTTGACGCGAATTTCGCAAAAGGAAAATTGTTTCCATTAATTAATTAATTGATGCTAGTTTCACTGAACTAGTTGGGCTAAATTACTAAAAATAATAAAACAAACGAAGATTACTTACATTTTCAGCAATTTGCTCACGCTTTTTTGTGTCTGCTGCTTACTGGTATTTATTCTAAGTGAGGTAAAAATACTTCAAATAAATCAAATAATGTAATCTGCTTGAAGTTTGGCACAATATTTCATTCAAAAATGTAATTTTCACCATTTTTTAATTGAACTTTAATTTTTTTAATATTTTGTTTTGTTGTGTTCGCTTTTTGACTGCTAATATTGATCGATTTCCGATGAAAATTAGTGACGGCAACGATTTTCTATATATTAACATCTATATTTTGTTACTAAAAAATACTTTTCTATGGAGTCTAAGAATACTTTACTAACTTTTTCGCCTTACTTGAGTTAATTTTGTAATTCATTTAGAAAAAAAGTCAACATTCTTTAAGGTCGAGTTTTACATTATGCAAATACATTCTGAACTGCATTATTTCGCTAAATTTATTACACACAACCACTACCAGAACACTGGTATTAAAATCAACACACATATTCTCTGTAATATTACTAATACAACTGAGAACTACCAGTTTATAAATAAACAATTAAGCGCAACTCACGTTCGGCGGCTTTTCATTATTGAACTTGACCAATTTTTCGCATGCCGGTAGTCAATGTAAACAACAGCTGACAGCTCGTGCAACTGTATGTGAGTGATTGTATTGCACTTTCGTCAATAATGCATTTTGCAAGTCATTACAGCAGCACTTTTTTTTGCTTTTGTCACGATTATATGTTGTTTATGTATTTTTTTTTTGGAGCAACAGATATGTATATATGTATGTGTGTAGACAGTTTCGAAACATACTTAAAAAAATTTACATATTTTTACAACTTTTGAATAAAGTATTTTTCTTCCAATTTCGCCTTGCTGTATTCATTCAGTTACTACTAACTCATTCAACCTGTCTGAATGTTTATAGTAAAGCTCATTGACCCATATGTTCATTTACGGTAATTAATACCGTGAAAGGCCAACCTTAAGTTTTCCACTTAGAATTTAATTAGTGTTTTATGTTTGCACAGCTTCCACCAACAAGTAATGTATATGTGTATGAACGTTTTTTTTTCAATTTTAATTTGCCATTTGATTGTCTGTAATTTTCATGAAGAACGTAAGTACAAACATTTAATCGCCTATTAATGCGATTTAATATTAAATTTTTAATTTACATAAATTAAAACAGTAATGAGAAAAGCTTTGGGACCTCAAAAATGTGTTGAAAGCACTATTACAGTAAAGTCTTCTATTTGTAATTGTCAATCACGGCGCTAAAATGATTCTAAACCATTTGGAAGATTGTTTTTTTTTTTTTTTTTTTTGAGTATCACATATTTATTTTTAGCTTCAATTAACCATTTTGTATCTAATGAGTTGGTGTTATAATTCTTGATAAATTAAAAACCAGCTTATTTACGTAAATAAGCTGTCACTTAACACGTCCATGTATAATTATAACAATTAATGAAATAAAAAATATTTATTTTCAATACTTCTTACAGTTTCTTTATTTACAACACAAATATCACGTTATATTTTACATAAATAATTGACATACTAATTACTTACTTATGCATATGTACACATATAAATATGTAAATGTGTATTAAAAGTTAGATAGATAATACAGTTAAATTATCACAGTCTTTAATTAATAAATTATACTTTCCTATCCGACTACATACTTTTGAATTTCAATCAATAAAACGTGACCGCAAATGTGTGGTTAAGTTGAATATTGAAAATTACACTAGAAAATTTCTATCGCTATTAACACGTGTCATCAAATAGGGGCGTTGTTCTGTTGGGCAGTGAAATTTCTCCATTAGCGTAGGCTCATCCATTATACTTTTCTCACCATTTGGTTCCAACATATTATTCCAAAGATAATTGGCGCCTGTCAGAAATGTATTGTTTATTGAAAAAAAAAATCAGAAGTAAAAAAATACTTACTAATCGCATGACCGCGCTGGCTCAAGTGGAAGCAATCCTCGGAGAGAAATTTAAATTTTACCGCATCATCGCTGTTGGGAAAAAAATCTCCGAAAAGTGTAAACGGCTGCATATTAATTGTAAAAGTCTGCATAAAAGATGATAACATTTTTTTTTAACCAAAACACAAAATTTTCCACTATATTAAAATGCTCACCTCAGTATTAAACTCATCCCTATTCACTATCTCTCTATCCTTCTCAATCCATTTTTTCATCAACTGTTTCATACGGTTAACATGCTGTTTCGGCTTACCCACCAAACACGGACATTCGAATGATAAAGTTGTATGGCAAATTGGTGTTTTCATACTCAAACCGACTAGGAAGTCTAGTTTCGGTGATGGCACTACATTTATCATTAAACGTGGCACGTTATCACGCAGATAACGGTAAGTCTTCACCATATTTTCTTCGTGCTTTTTAATTGCATCCTCCGGACGTGGTAAATAGCAAACATCTGAGCAAAAGTCATTATTACCAATGAGCATGGTAATGAGTTTCCAATCTTCGGTCATATTCACTTTAGGATCACGTGACATGCGTTTCACGAGCACCTGTGCTTCGTATGGTATGTCTCTTGACATTGCACCCAACTCAGCGACGTTGAACCTGAGGTGCAAAGTGGTCATTATTTGAAATATTTATAGTAAACAATTGTTATAGTAGTAATCAATCGAAATGGATAATCGTCATGTAATTAAATATTCATAAATTTACTCACTTTGAACTTCTATCAGTTGAAAGTCCATCTTTCAACGAATACCCATACAAGTTCGGATTGAACTCCTTAAGTATATTTGGCAGCGTTAGATATTGTCGCCAAGTGCCTTGCCCACCAATACTCCATACCATGCCACGATTTTCTACAGTGACATGCAATAAATTTGTCGCAAAAATGCCATTACCAGCTGTTAGCGAATCACCCATAGCGCCTATAACATCGATATCGCCGGGTCGTAAACGATGCACCGAGTTAGGTCGCCGCTCACTGCGTTTGCCGGGACCATTTAGCGCATCACAAAAATTCACCAAAGAACGTGCGCGTGTGTTGAGATTTTGTGTTTTCTATAGCATGAGAAAATCATTCATTAAGTTATCAAGTTTACAAGCAAGTTACAAGCACTTACGCCCATATCACGCACTAGTTGACGATTATCCGGATTATCACCGGAACGTCCGGCAAAATTCAAGCCAAGCAAACGTAACGGTCGATATAAGTCACGAAATGTCACATCCAAGGAGGTGCGTTGTGTTAGCACAGGGTGATACATGTGCAGCGATAATGCGCCAAGCAGTAAGCAATACTTCAGTGTTGGGTGGAACATTTTTGGAAAGCGTTGAATGTAAGCTGAAAGACAAGAAGCATGTATACAAAATTAAATAAAAATATAGTTTGTGTCATTAATGTAAGGAAATGTAGCATGAAATTTATAGCATGGCTAGAAAAATTTTTTTAAATTAAATGGTTTTAAAAGTGTTACTGGAATTCATCAAAATAATGCGCTAAGCAAAAAAAAAATTACATTAAAATAAAGTCAATGATTTGTATAAAAATTAGTTAAAAAAGAAAAAAACAAAATAAACTTAAATGCGAGTTAATGAACTCATTATACATTATACACTCAAACATTTGTACAACCAAAGTTTTTTTATTTCCACAATCGACCTTGACCTACATACACGTGCATAAAATACAGTAAAAAAAGGAAAGCATAACAAACGTATGAATGGGAACGAAAGAAAGCAAAAGTGTGCACACATTTCCCAAAGTTAAAAACAACAAAGCGGCGGCGAACTTGTTATAGTCATAAAAACAAAACAGATAAAAAAAAAAAATATTTCCGACATAAACAGTAGCGCGTCGCGCTCTGCTAAAAAGCAAATTAACCGCTATAAACCACAAAAGAGAGCAAAGTAAAAATAAACAAAAACAAAATTAAGTATGCTTTTAGAGTCAGCTGTTGTTTGGTTTATTGAACTTTATGAAAAAAAGGTAAAAAATTAAAACGAATTAGAGATAAGCTAATTGTTTTCTAGAATTTAGTGAATTATTATATTTAAATTTTTATTTTGCTTTGTTTGGTAGTTTTATAGGGGAAGTATGTAGTGGGGGGTAAATGGTCTTACAAAATTCTTCGATAAGCATACTTTTTAACAAACTACAAGCCTACAAACATTAATTTATGAGTTTTAGTTGGCTTAAATTTATGTTTGAATATAAAATTATTGTATTTCATGACATTTTTTTTTTTCAAAAAACAAAACTCAGAATAATAAATTGCCAAAATGTATTTGTTTACAAATTTAGCACGTTCTACTCAAACTAAATTTAAAAAATAAATATTTAATTTTGTTGTTATAATTAAATAGCTGTGTGTTTTCTTTTCTTCTTCAAATTCTTTTATGGCCCTCTTTATTATCTGCATAAATTTGCATATATTTTTTAAATTATTGTTTTTTTTCAAACTCCACTTCAAAAAGATGATGCGGAGATATTGCCAATGGCGCCGGTTATTATTAGTGACAAATCATTTTATTTTCTACGTAGATTACCGCATTACAACTTGACTTTTATTTGTTTATTTTTATTTTCTTTATTTTTTTTTAACTTGTCAAGTCAATTCACATAAATGTGCTAAAATATGGAAGTGATTGTTTTTTATATTTGTTAGATAAAGGTTTGAGCAGGTTTACAGTGATTTGAAGCAATTAGTGTTAGAAACATCAGAAATTTCATATATCCCTAAATATTTTTACATTATTTTATGGCTATGTAAAAGCATTTATCACTTTTATAATTGTGAGAAAATGCATTTAAATTTTCTACTTTTCAATTAATCAAGTAATAAACTCTTTTGATTCCTATAATGGACTAAGCTATGACGCGCAACACATTCTAAATTCAATCTATTGTTTTGTAATTAAACATTATAATATAATATAAACAATTCAATTGGATACCCTGACATGGAGACCTGAATTTTTTTCATTGCCAAACTTTTGAAACGAAACTCAACATGCGCCATGCGCTTATTGTTCACATTTCGAATGTATAGTTATTTCTTCTTTGATTTGTCAACATTTTTTGAAAAAAAAAACTGTTTTTGATGCATAAAATGTGAAGAAACCTTATAGATAATACAGATGTTATACGAAAAATCAAATATTCGTTCATATTTGCATATTCAAACTAGTCTAACGGAGGCTGCGAAATGACCAAAATGTTTATAATTTAATTAAATTAATAATTTAAATTTGTTTTCAAGTGCTTCTAGATTTTTCCACCGGCATATACATATATTTTGTTTCTTACGAATGTAGGTATAAAAATTCGGAAAAAGGAAGGGAAACAAGTTTCGTTAAAAGAGCAAAAAATTATTGTTAATATAACTAAAAAAAAAAAATAGCTGCTAAAAATTTGTTTAACATCAAATCGATGATTAATTTGCAAAACAAAAATTATTACATTTTAACACAACTGCGCCACTAACACCATTCTCACAATTGATGGGTTATTAATAGTAAAAAATAATACTAAATAATAAAAAAACACCGTTTAAAATTTGCTAAATACTTTACTTCCTCAATTAATTGCTGGCGAAACCAGTTATTTTAAGGAAAAAAGAGCACATAAACTGTTTTCAGGATTTTCTTTGAAAAATATTTTGTGTGCGCGCGCGCGCCAATTTCAAAACAGACCATCAATTGTTATCTTATATTAATAACCGCAGACATACGTCATCGTAGCCAACGTTTAAACGTCAATTTAATGTGGTTATTAGACAATTATTATACAACTAAATAGTTCGGCAAATACACTGCGCTGCAATTTTTCAGAAATTATTATTTAACCAAAATTAGTTTCTTGTCTAATACTATTCTAACGGATTTATCGGCACCTGACTGTTGAAGTTTTGTATATCGATTTATCGTCGAATCCCGTTTGAATTAAACCGACGAGTCATTAATTAGCGGAATTCGTTCGTTTTATGACAGATTTTCACAAAAAGCGAAAAAATGCGCTAAATGTGTTAAAAATGTATTTTAAAAACCTTTTTTAAATTTATCAGCATTTTTGACTTAAGATGCAAACATTTGAGTGAAGTTTAAAGTAAAACGTTAATTAGTAAGTTAGTATTTATGAAATGCAGCGCGGACATAGCAAAAGGTTACGTCAAAGGTATTTGGTTGAATGTCGCGCAACAGTGAGAAATATGTTATGAATGCATCTGGTTTTACTGATCACCAGGAGCCTCCTTCACATTAGAAACACAGTGTGGCAGCTAATTTAAGAATTGAAATAAAACCAAAAACTCATTACATATATGTATAATATTTTGATCAAGTTTTTCATTCAAAAACGGTTGCACAAATTAAAAAATGTGTGGCGAATAAAAAAATGTAAGCAACAACAAAACAATTAAATTTTGACAGTTCGAACAAAATTTAATTTTTGCTGGTATGTCTCAAATACAATGGAATTGTCTTTAAAGGCAGCGAAAATTTTTTTAATGGAATTTCAAAGCAACCCTGTTAATTTAACACTTAGAATTCTTATTGTGACTCCAGGTTATAAAATTGAATTGCAATTTTCAGCGCAAAAAGTGAAAACTTAAGTTTTTATTAGCTACATAAACTAAAGAAAAATAATATTTTTTACTAATTAATACATATATTTTGCATTTGAACAACAAAAGATTTAAGACACAAACTCACCACTTAATTTTAATTATTTTATTTTCTAGCAGCAACAGCACTTGCGTAAAACTTTTTCCAAAGAGTTTTTAAATGATTTTATAAAATATTTTTATACACAGTTTTTTACAATATAATATTAACAAGCTCTAAAAAATAAACACTTTTGTGTTCACGATTAAGCAATTAACAATTCTACAGTATTTTTACATGTGAGTAACTTTTTGTTCATATTCCTTTTTGTTAATTATATTTTTATTTTTATAATCATTAAATACACATAAATCTTTAATTTAATTTCAATTTTGTTATTTTTATTGAAAATGTGGTGCAGTTATGTCAAATATTGTTCATTTATAATCAATAAACACTTTTCAATATTTTTTCAGTTCACTTTGTTATAATGTTTCGCCACTAACTTCTCATAAATTTAAGAGGATAAATAAATTTATAGAAACAATTTTATTCACAAAAATAATTATTCAGTTTTTTATTTTTATCTCTCATAATTTTTTAAATTCTAAATACTTCAATGCAAACTTTTCAATAAACGCAAAATTATTGCAAATTCACTCTTTGCACACAAATATTTGTATATATGTATATACAACAAATACTTGCTAATTCTTTATAATAATGTTTTATAAAATGTAAACATGCAAAATAACATACAATTCTTATTTTTATTTATTCTTCAATAAGCAAAGCAAATTTTTTTTCATATAAAATTTTCACAAGTCCACAGAATTGTGTGTGCGCCACCCGCCGCGCTCAGAATCAGAATCTGACTGTGCACTAGAAATTCTTATTATGATTATTTTATATCAAATCCGTCCGAAAGCGGCAACAAAGCCAGCGCAGTAGCTAAATTCTCGCAGTAGAAGCGCACACTGCGACTTTGCCGACAACGCTACAATCTACCGGGCGCGAGTGAAATAGAATAAGAAAAGGGGTTTGCGGTTTGCTGTGCGCGACAGCGGTGTCAATCAGTGCGAGTAAAAGTGCTGTATACATATATAAGAATGCCAGCACCACGACACGTTGTTGAAAGCTTATTGCTAGTGCTAGAGTTGACGATAAAAATACAACTGGCTGTGATTAAAGCCGAGATAGAATCAACGTCTGCTCGGTGTAGCAAAATGTGAAACGAAATGTGCAGAGAGGCTTAAGAAACATGAAAAATATAGAAGAAGAAGTAAAAAAAAACGAATATGTTTGTATGTTTAACTTACTCACCTGTGCATATTCAAAATCCGCCACAGCGCGTAGGGCCTTTTTATTTTGTTTTTATTTATTTTTTTTTTTGTCTTTCATCGCTGCTTGATATGCCTACCGGCGTTTAGCCAACGTACTAACCGGCAATTAAAATGCTAGCCACCGCCAATGACACCACAACCAACTCAGCACAAAGGGGTGTAATAGCAAAAATGTACAAACAAGCCAAAAACCGCAAAGCGCCCTGCGTCCGCCAATACAATAAGGCGCGAGTTTTAAACGTAAATCGTTTTGTTTTTTATTTCACTTTTTTAACACATCACATCACATTATCATCGACGTTGATATCAAAATCAGTATGCGCACACCCAGTAACAAATCAACAACAACAACAACAGCTCAACATACTGTCTCACATATCCGCCGGAGATTTACCGACATGGCGTCAGCGTCAACGTCGACATCAGCATCGCAGTAGGTTTGTTTTGTGATTTGTTAATTTAATTTGTGAACAACGGTTGATGCTTCTGGAATTTTAAACAATACACTTCATTCTGCTTGGCTTGTGGAGTTTGAGCTGTAGAGTTTTTGCATAAAATTTTTTATGCATCTTTTATGGATGTCTGTATAAATACTTACTTGTTTGCACATTCATTCATCGCATACATAAATACAATACTGATTATAGTTCTATTACTGTAAATAGCGCGTACACGCTTTTAGCGGATTTTTCTAAATTTGTACAATTTATTTATATAAATATACGATTACATATGCACATATATATACATATGGTATTAAATCGCGCGTAAATAACGTGCGACTACTTTATAAAATAATTTTCATTTTTATTTTCAGTACTTTATGCGGAGTTAGTGGAATTTTTTTCCGCAAGACACACTTATTCTCAAAATGGAATAAATTCTTCATGTTATTGAACTATAAATATTAAATTTAAAAAAAAAAATTAAAAAATAATTATAGAAATTTACTCAAGCAAAATTTGTAATTAGGTTAGGTCACTTTATATTGAATTGGACGGCTTTAAAAAGATATCCCATAGAGAACTGCCCAGAACAGACGTCTCTTAAACTCCATATAACCGTGGTGATCATGGTACCAACAGACTGGGTTCGATGTGGTACGCCGCTTAGGCCCAACCGCTGTGAGGTTGCGGAGATGCTGGCACTTCCCCCAGAATTAGAAGTTAAACTCTCCTTATTACACACCTCTCACCAAATCGCCTGAAAACGATTGCAATTTCGCAACCACATTTTCTCTTCTCTAACGCCCCTATTAGAAGCGAAAACTTCTTCTCTTTGGAGCCTTGCGATGAGAGCATCTTTGGTAACTCTGCCAATCTCCGGTCGCTATACGGACTTAATTATTGATATTGTTATTGTTTCGCTTGTCTCTTTGAAGATTGTATTTTGTTGTCCATACGAAAACGGTGCCCACTCATTTGCGCTATCCAAATTCCGACTACCTTATGTGGTAACGAGACGAGTAATTGCGTTGAAAGTCAGATGTGGATTTGAGCGAGATGTGGATTCTAGTTAGACGCTTTGCCCGTACAGGGTTTTCCGTTATCTCCTGTCCATTGCAGTGTTATGCCTTGATGCCCAATTTACTGAGCCGGTTTCCCATAACCCAGCTGGCGTTTTTTTGCTTCCCTTACAGCGACATAGGCAGCAGAAGGGAAGGAAAACAAACGAATGCGGCGGAGCTCCATACCGCAACAAGCCACCGTTACTACCGCAGATGGACCGGTATGCGGAAGGCTCCATTAGATTACAGTCAGACGATCCCGACTGTAAGCCATCCAAGAGTCATGGATACACATGACATCCTGGATTATATGGGAAGGATATATTTGACATCCTCCTGATTGTTGTTGTTTTTGTATCGGCTCCTCCGGGTCTAGATTCCCGATGTTTAGTAACTAACGATTTTTGTATAAGAGATGCTGATTGTCACTTATTACCAGGCGAACAGGTGAAAAACATTTAAACGAATGAAAAATAACTAATGAGTTGTGTACTAAAATCTGTTGCACTGAGCTGGATTCCAAACAGGACTGTAGTGCGGTTGTTGGCTCTTAAAGGCACCTCGCTCGCTCTGCGCTCTGAAATATCCCAAAATGTTTTGTCATCCTATATCACGACCGCTGTATCTCGAATTAGACTGTACCTGCATGTAGCACTACAAAAGGCCAGCAAAAATATATAAGATTTAGCAGATAACTAGAGCAACCTAGTCTATTTTCTGTGGTTTAGGTTTTAGGGAATTTGGCGTTACTCCGGATACACCACGAAGTATAAATTAATATACGTAACTCTTTGAATCTTTAAATCTCACTTATTTGCTAACCGTTAATTATTTGCTCTTTTTTTGCGTATAAATTATCGTTAAATTAAAATATTATGTCTGAGCTGAGTATCTGGCTAACAAAATTTTGATGAGAATGAGCCTACATTATTTCGCGATTGTTTTTTTCCATATTTGACAAGTGAAATAAAAAATAATAAAGTATTAGTAAACGAAATTCAGGTACCTGTTATATGAAATGCTTTTTTTTTTTAATAGCGATTCAATTAATTAACCGCAACTGATTTATGAACTTGTGAAACAGCCTTTAAATTTCTAATGAACATTGCTTATGCCATTTTTTATAGGTAAATATTTGTATTAAAATAAATAATTTGATTGAAAAAATAACATTTTTTTTGTTTTGAAATTACTTGTATTACCACAACGTAGAAAAAAATATATAAAAGTAAAAATTATACAGATAAGTTAACAAGAATTGACAAAATTTCACTGCAATTATTATTTAAAGCACGACAGTTAAGCTTAAATAAAGACAATAAAATAAAAAAAATTTTTTATTGAATTCAAAATTAAGTGGACTTTACACCTTTGCAACGTGTTAAGTGGAGAACTTACGTCAGTGCCCGCAAGAAATTTTACAGAAGAGTCAGCATGACATTGAAAAATTAGCCTACAGCGATTGACAGAAAAAAAAAGAAATGACGAAGAGTCAAAGTATAACATAAATGTAAAAATTTAAATTGGTAATAAAGAATTTGCAAACGACGCTGACGTTGACGCCGACGCCGGCGCATGAGCAGCCGCTAGCCTCTGCCGTACAGCAAGTGTATGTCATGTGCGAAATTTCACACAATAAAAGGTATAACAAAACAAAAGAAAAACAAAAGCAAAAATGCTTACTTATTTTTTTCTTTTTTTTTATTTATTTTTTCATTTGTATAAAATGTGTATAAATTAGTATTTTATGAATTTTGTAAGCTAAGATAAAACAGCGGATATCAATGATGCGAGGATGCTTCAAGTTAAGTGCAAATCGAACATAATCGAAGTATCGAATATCGCGCCAAAGCATTGTTAAAGCATAATTGCAACTAAAACAGCGGTAAATACAAATTTAACATAAAACACGCACACATTTATTTATAATTTTAAGTCAAAAAAGTAAAAATATTTAAACAAAGTTTAGCTTAAATAAATTATGCAGCAAATCGGAATTTGCACTAAAAGCTAATAAAAAATTAAAACAAAAAATAAAGAAATAAAAACAGGAAATAACAAAACGGTGTAAATTTATTGATGAAGAACCATTGTAAAATGTAACTAAAAATAATAAAGCAGTAACAATAAATTGTAATACACGCATAGTATATTAAATGAAAAATGTATTTGAAATTTATTTGCATACAAATTAAAAATGTGGATTACATTACTAGCGGCAGCTAGATGTGTTTCGCGATACCAAAATAAGTATTGAAAAAAGTGAAAAATCCAACAACTTTTTTTTAAGTAATCTTTTAAATAATTTGTTTTTATTCATCCATTTTTCAAAAACTATTTTTCTAAAATCTCCTTTTAACAATACCATATATTACAAAATCATACACCAGGATCCTCTCTATACCCTAAAATTTACATAAATTAAATTAAATTTTGAGAGATTTAAAAGTTTCGGACAGACGGCAACTCTGCTCAAAAATTTTCCGTAATTAAGCTTTTGAAATCTCTTTATTCCGACGCTCATATAATACTATGTAATGTATATAAAATACTTAAATTACAATTATTTAAAATTAAATTTTTTAACAGGTGGCAATGCTACTAAACCTTTTTTTATCAAACCCTTTTTCTTAAGGATTTTACTACTTTTTTCAAGCTTATGCTTCAGAATAGGTGGTAGCTCTGCAAGTTAAAACCCTAATTAATTTTTTCTGAGCTAAAGTTACACCATCTCCAATCAAATATAGATGCCATGTTCCCTTTTCCTTTTATATTTTTTTTTTTTGTTTATTTTGATTAGTTTCATCAACACATATATAAATTCAAAATTTTTTTTATTCAGTAGTAGTTTTTAACCGGTAATTAATTAAAAAAAGAAAAAATATTATAAATATTAAACCATAAAAATTATTTCCTTTATTAATTTTATTAATTTATTACTAAGTACTGTTACTAGAACAGCTACCGTTCGCATTCATTTAGTTCTCTGAATGTTAAACTAAGTCGTACTTAATTATGCGTAGGTACCCCTAATGCGATTAATCATGCGATTATAATGCCAAATCACCTGTTAATATTTTTTTAAAGTAGTTTTTCATAATAATTTATATTTTATATAAGATTTTAATAAAAAAAATATTGCATTCCATACAACATCACTTTAAGCATGCTTCAAGCATATTCATTTCACTCTGAACGGTTGTTAACAACATCACCACTAATAAAATCACTTAAAAGCTGTATACAAAGCAATAATGTTCCTACTCATTGCCCACGGCGTTTTGTTTGCAAAATTTTCAACACTACCTTTTAACAAGCTGACGGTATTTCGCAGACTGTAAATATACAATACGAGTATATGTATGTAAGTACATTTGTACAATTGCTGAAAATAAAAACCACACTCTATGGCGCACGCCGTCAATCAATTTATTGCTTCCTATACATACAATTCTTGTGCTTACTGATGCGCCCATTTAATGTCTAATTAATTTCAATGAATGCGGAACACCCTTTGACAAACGGCCTTTACACGAACCAAAAAAAACAACGCGTCGTATGAGTAACACCGTTCAATTATAAAGAAATTGAAGTAAAACTGGAAAATTTTGAAAAAACTAAAAAAGTAAGAAGAATGCAATAGTTAACATTATATTATATTGAAAGCCAAATAGGTATGTAATTCAACAAAAACGGGTTTTTCATTTGCCGGTCATCACAACGCCATTTAAGTAGATAACAGATACTCGTAAGTGGCTTTGCAACATGCCGGTTGCCCTTGCAGTGGAAACTATTTCAAGTGCATGGACGCGCCACAGGTTGCACGATGCACGTGTTTTGCGGCGTAAAGTACAAAAATAGTATGCTAAAAAAATAAAAACAAAACAATGCTCAATAAGATTCAGTAACGGTAAAAATATTTCAAGGTGAACAAATAGGTCGCGTAATGCGCGAAAAAAATGAAAGTAAATCGTAAGTTGTGGTATAAACGGTGATTATAAACATAACAATGTTTTTGCTTGCGGGCTGAGTCATTAAAATTAAATAATTCAACAGGGGATTTGTATGCATTGCATGAGAATAATAGCTGATTGATTTTTGGAATGTGATTGGGGATATACCTGCTCTTATTAAGTTTATATTTTCTACTTCTTCTTGTTGGGGCATGTAAGTGGTCTTCGATTATTCTTACTGATAGAGAAGAAGCTCATATTCTTTTTTCTATGTCTGATGTAGGCACGGTGGTAGGGCATCGCCTGATGTGGTTCATAAAAAACCAATAGGCCTTTCGCTCAATTTATTAACTTGTAACAAACACATTTGTGAAAGTTCTTTTTTCGAACGGAAGCGGTAATTGGAATTTGAAATTATAGATATCGGTCATTTATAATATAATATTTGACTAATTCAAATTCATTTCTTATATTAAACCAATCCAATATATTTTTAAAGTTCAGTAAATAATAATAATAAATAAATGGGTAACACTGAAAATTTGGTCAAAAGTTAAAACAGTCAACAATTTCAATTAGACTGTATCTGGAATAGCCTTAAGATTGTCCACGAATTTCAACGCCGTCATAATATTATTCTCGTCGGCTTTTGTCTCCTATTTCATATTCACAGTCACTTATCGTATTTTCTTTTCTGTTTATGTGTAGCTCAGAGCTGCCATCCTGTAGAAAGTTGCCGTGTTTTGGTAGGTTTTGTTTTAAGAAAAAACTTTGTCCTCAATTAGATCCGAATCAGATATAACTGGTGTGTGTATTAAGAACTATTCTAATCGTGAAGAGAATTATCACCTATTGATGAGGGCTGTACAAAAGACACTTCATCTAATAAAAAAATGTACATCTTAATATAGGAACCATTGCTACATTTACCGAATGATATTTTTGCCTTGTTATGAATAATTATCTTGTATCAAAAATTTAATTTGCCTCATTAACTTTATAGAAGCAAGATTCCTAGAGGAAATTTAATTTTTAAATTTTGGACCTTTTTTTTGGATAAAATGGCTGTTAATCACTGTGTTGGCAACTCTGTTGCGTATCTCAATTTCACGGTTGTTGTTTTGTTTTGTGCACTATCGGCATTTGAATTCAGCTGGACATTCCGTATCTATTTCTAGTTTTGCTTTATAAATAATTAATTGGCTTGAACTGGTGTTAAATAAAAAATGTCAACGTTGTGATTGTTACACACTAAACACTGTTAAAATCGCGTGAATATGTACACAGCTAAGGAATTGCTGCCCACACTGAAGAAATATACATATTTAGTAAGATAAGCAGAAAGACAGCATCTATATCAGCGTTTGAATAGTTTCGGAAAAGTGTAGTGGGAGTCGGTGCAGTCGCCAGACATAACACATATATATACGTACATTTGTGCAACGAAAATTCAACGAATTTTCTATTGAAAAAATTACACCAAAATTTCCGCATTATACCAGAAACAAAAATATTTTTTTGAAATCACAGCTTCAAGGGCGACAGGTTAAAAAAGAAGTAGAAAATAAGATATAAACAATGACCTCAGTGATAAAATATATGTCGCTGATGACCACCTGCTCGGTGTTTGCAGCATTAATCTCAATAATTTGGCAAGCATTTATATCGCTAAAGCACCTTAACAAAATGACTTCAATACTTACGGGTCTTTTGGCAATTGAGAGCAGTTTGAAGCGACCACTACAGCCACCCAAAGTTGCCGTAGGCTATGGTGCATGCACTGATTTGTTAATACACGCAACCGATTTTCTGAATTACACTGAAGAGCTGGTAAAAGGGGTTGGTCCGGAATTCACAGTAGATGAGGTAAATGACCGACAAGAACTTTTGCAAACATTCGCTTACTATTTCAAAAATGGAGCAGCAGCAGAGTAAGTAAAACCTCTTAAGCATTTTGAATTAAATCTGACCATTTATTTAACTTTTATTAGGCGTATCATGCCAAATACCGAGCTCTTCAAAGAACTTATACAGATTGCAAAGTCTCGTCACCTTGACAGCATACAATGGTTCCTTGGTGGCAATGCACCGCTTATGAGTACACGTTTTCATCTGGAAGGTGCCAATGTACTACTCGGTGCACGTATGTCCAAAAAGTACGTTCCAAGAATGATTATAAAAATATGTAGCATGCAATCATTATTATTTAAAATGCATGAATTCTTTACAGACTACGTCGTCTTGTGCCCGCAGAAATAAAAATAGCTGGCGATGAAATTCCAGAAGATGACATCCATCTAATATTGGAGTATAAGTCTGGCGACACTTGGGGTCCATTTGTAGCACCACGTGCTAATCGCTATATTCTTCATAGTGATCGTAACAACCCACATTTAAATTCCGTTGAACACTTTGATGCTGCTGTACGCAATTTTCAACCACGCTTACTCGTTATTAGTGGCTTACAAATGATGGATAGCTATAAATTCGCACATGGTGTACGAGAAGCTAGGCTGCTCAAAGTTCAGGAACAAATTAGTCTACAATCACCCACTACTTTACAACATTTCGAAATGGCAAGTTATGTAGAAATCGAACTTCTGCAACTTTTGCGGCAATATGTTTTGCCATATGTAGATTCATTGGGCATGAACGAGCAGGAACTGGAAAACCTACGCCAAGTGTTAACAAAAGGACGCACAACACTAGCGACTGACTGGAATCCGCGCGTCGCTACTGCACTGGACCAAATGCGTGACGTATTTCAAATTTTAGCACAAGATTACTATAGAAACTCTACAGGATTGCCACACCGACGCCTCTTAACACGCATTCATGTACATACATTGGCATATCAAGCATTGTTGACAGTGCGTGATTCGCAATGGGAGCGTACACAAATCGCTGCAGCTAAAGCAGCACTTACTGCACATCGACATGTCTGTCAAACTGATATGGTAGGTTTTGTCATTTTACATTGCTAATATTGTAATACATATTTATTCAAAATTATAGATTAACCCGGAATCGGCCTTACTCATCTTAGACGATAGTTTCGCGACCACAGCTCAAAATAAAGACACCGCTAGTCGTATACAATTGAATCCTCAACAACCCGTGCCATGCTGGAATGAAACTATCGTTGTAAACGATCAAAAATCTTTACCTATAGAAATATGTGTTGCACCGGTATTAGTATGTCGCGTAGCCAAGAAAACGGCTGGGGCTGGCGATAATATATCTGCCGCAGCCTTATCCCAACAGTTGTAAATTAATTTGAAACGACAGGTGGCAGTATATTATTGACAAGTGCCCTCTCCAAATGACTGCTAATACCCAGAGTGACCTTATAAATATGTGGATCCTGTGACCTGTAGTAACAAAAGCAAACAATAATTTAGAAAAGTAAAACTCACTCTTTTGCAAACATTCCTAAAGATGAAAAATACTAGTTCATAAAAGTAAAACTCATTCCTTTGCAAACATTCCTAAATAGAGAAATTAGAACCTATTTGACTGTTCCTTCAAGTTAGTAGCGGTATATGTTAATCTGACATAGATTTACGTTAATATAAAATTATAATTGAAAATTTACTTTATCTCAAATCTCACTTGGTAATAAGAAACCGTGTGTTCACTTACCTACATTCATGCATATGAATATGGGTGTGTAGGCTGTGGCATAGATATGTAAATGCATATTGAATTGTATGTTGAAAATGGCTTTGGTAAATAATTTAGATAATAGTGTACGTTGGTATTAGATTTTTTCTATATTTTATGGTAAATTATACTTTAAAGGCAATTTAGTGTATCATAGTGCACTAATCTGTGCATACATACATATTATGGTTTTAGAAATTTTTAACTTACCGCTAGCATGTACTTAAACTAAATTTTTTAAAATATGTGTTAAATATGATATAAAAATCTGTCTGTTAGCTATAATTGCAACTACAATGCTCAATAATATTATAGCTCTTCTTGCATTCCCCTTTATCAAATTTTTGCATTCGAAAATAAATATGTGGATTTGTAAGTTAAAACCTATATATAAACTTTTATTTCTTCGCTTACATTCTCACAACACTTGCCTTGCATTGGCATCGCTTACTAGCTAAAAAAAGATCAACTATATAGCAAATAAAATAGATTTCGTGCATAAGTAGTATCTAGCCAATGCACTAAAGGCCCGGCATGACGTATGCAATGTTGTCCAGCGTCGCCGTAAGATTCTCGCTTAATTGTGGCTTTCTTTCTAGGCCTGGTATGCGTGTTGTAAGGCATAAAAGCGGGCCCAACGAACAGAGCAGGCTATCTAATAATACGGATAGGCTACCTGAAACGGCGATTTGACCTTCATGTTCTTTAAGTCGTTCTCCGATTATGGTTAAACTCTCGCCGAGTAATTTGAGATGCGCTGCCGTATCTATGGGTTCAATATTTGGCAATGAAGTCTTCTTGTTGTGTGAATTTGTCGTGTGTGAGGCAACGGATGTTATATTTGTAAGATTGTTGTTGATTGTGATGTTGCCAGCGTTGAGCGCATACGTGTTGAGATCGTTGCTATTGAGGCCACTACCACGATTAAGGCTATTATTCCGTCTACGTTTTGTAGTTAAGCCGGTGGTTGGAGAATCGCCTGTATTAGAAGTAACAGAAACGGAGTTACCACGTGGCTTACTTCTGTTTGATGTTACCGGAGTAATTGGTTGCGGTGTCTGTTGTCTTTCATCCGCCAACTTTTTGGTTCTACTTGTTGTGGGCTTGAAATATGGTTGGTATGGACTCGTAGGAGCAGGCGTTATACGCTCACGAGATTTCGCTTTAGTGGCCTGAACTTTAGCCTTACGTCGCCACGAATCTTTCTCTTTATTTGAAACATTTGCCCATAGTTCACCCAGACGCTTCGCAGTATTTGAGAAATCTGGAAATATTAGATGTTAGTTTAGTTATATACATATATAATTAATCATCTTACCCATGTCTTGTCCCTTGCCTAGTTTGCCCGTTTTACGTAACTCTCTCGCCCACATGCTATACGCGGTGTAACGAGTCTTGCCTTTATCCTTTCTTTCCACTTTCCCTGTCACTACACGACCATCTTTGAGCACTCTACGTTTATTCGCCTTCTCTGTCATATATAAGCTTTGGCGCACTTTCGATTCTGGATTGCCGTTGCTATCTGGATGTTCGCCATCAACAATACCAGCCACTAACTCCTTCAGATCTTCATCAGAATCACCTGTTGGGTTATTGTTATCACCGAAATTTTCGTCGTCTGTAACATTGTCAGACATGTCGTCATGTAATTCGTTATCGTCTTCAGCCAAATCACTTATATCACCACCTAAACCACTGCCAACACTCAAGTGTGATCTACGAGGAGGCCGACCAACACCACCCAATAAGTTTCTACCGCGAACATTACCGTTACGCGTTGGCAGTTTTGCCGCCCTTTTAAGTTTCTTCTCCACTTCATCTGGTGATTGAAAGTCGAGTAGTTTGGATGATTTCTTGCGTACGCGTCCACTTCGAGATACGCCAGTCACTTGAAAATCTTTAAATAAATAATATCGTAAGTGTCTGAAAATCAGAGTCAAATACAATCTTCTACACTTACCTTTGCTAGCAGTAGTGTTCTGAGGTGTTTCCATAGCTATTCGAGCCAAAATTTAGGTTTTTTGATTTTTCTGATTTGTTTTTGTTTGAACTTCGTTGCGTTTTATTAAGAAATTTTCATAAGAAAGTGGGTAAGGCAAAAAGTGATGAAATCCAGGGTTGCACAAAATACGCTTCATAAATTAGGTTCAAGCTCTAAATTAATCAGTTATTAAGTGACATATTCTACATTTAACGATTTAGTTTAAGATCAATTTATTTATGAAATTTTCAAATATTTATATTTATATTTTTCGTACCATAGCATATCCGACTAAAATCAGGGTGAAAAAATTAGATACATTTTTCTACTGCTTTTCCGAGCAACCATGGCATGGCTGTAAATTTACTAAAATAATTGGCGCTTTTCCGCAGTTAACAAAAAATAAAGAGGAAAGAGTAGGAAAATTCAAGCGTCTCCCAGCGCTTGAAAAAAACGAAAGGATAAATAAAATAAATTCTAAATCTTATCAACTTAAAATTAATAAAATCGCCTTAGCCAAAGTTCATTTATCAGCGCCGATTAAAATGACTACTGAGACATCGCCTGATGAGCATCAGCAACAAGAAATACGTCTTGCACTTTCTGAAATTCCTAGTCGTTTGGAAGCTTTACATTTTGTCACCGCAGATGCTAGAACGCCGGCAACTGTTCCAAATCATCAAGGCCGTGATGAACCAACATCAATATTTAATTCTTATTCACCACATTTGGATAACATTACGAATATAGCATTATTTCATAATGAAGATCAAACACCTATGCCATCACCAGATGAAATTATAATAAGTCAACGAGGTCGTCGTCGTTTCAATAATGGCTCGTCACCTGATTCCGGTAGTACACCCCTGCGTATGCCTTTCCAACGAACTCCAACAAAAGTACCATTAAGTACCAGCATGATATTACGCAGTTCGCCACGAAAGCGTCTTACCATGGGTAGTACGCCACCGGAACCTGAACCAACTGTAATGCCTTCTCCAACAAAACCAAGGCAGCGATTATGGCGTCAGGGTCTGCCGCCAGCAAAGAAATTACGTATGATCGAAGAAGGTGGTAAACCTATTGCACAGTTGAATGAGGAAACGCCGTTATCATTGCTGCTACAAGGTATGTCGCAACAACAACTTATAAGACTAATAGTGGGAGATCTAGTTGCTGGTGATGCTGAAACTGAACTTCGTTTACGTACACGCCTTCCTATGCCAGATATAAAGTAAGTTTATTTTTATTGTGATGTCTTAAAAGTTGAATTTGTATTATTAATTTTTTTTTTTAATTTTATTTTTGCGCAGTCCGATGGAAGAGGAATTGTTGCATGCTAAGAGACAAATATTTCGATCGCTACCGACCTCTCGCCTTTGTAAGAAAACCGATAGCAGCGCCTATTCGCGTGCTGCGCTGCATCTCAATGAGTTTAAACGCCTGCTTACCGCTCATACCAAACAGTTGTACGATTCTGCAAATTGGGATGCATTACTGGATTATGTGACGATGGCTTGGCCAATTTTACGCGCTACACCACACTGGGACAGCGCAACACATAATGTAACGCGTCGTCAATGCTTCAAACTGTTGGCTTGTCATTGCTTGGCGGCAGTAAAAAATGGTGGACCACTTTTGGGAATGGTGCGCTTGCAGGCAACTGATAAAAATTTACGAGATTGGGCGCGCGATTTCGATGATATTCAATCTTGTCAAAGCGCACTAAGCAAAGCCATTTCCAAGGGGCGTGCAACGCTTTAGTATATTTCTGCTATACTGTTTGCTATAAGTAGTTGTAGGATTTAGTAACGTAACTCTTAGGACTTAAGAGCATGTTTATTATTTTTAATAACTTCTTTTTAAAGGTTTTATTAATGTACTGAAATTTACAAATGTTTAGATTATTTTAAAGTTGCCATATATTTTATGTAATTCTCGAAAGCTGGATAAAGCATTTTATTGTGATCTTAAAGACAAGTGAAAAAACATAATCACAAAATTAACATAAATTAAAAATTTGCTATGTGTTTACATATATTGTATAACATTTGTAGATATCCCAGCATTCATTAGTCGCGTCAGCATACAATTCTTTTATTTTGCTCTTTAAGATTTAAACTTTTCTCCCGCATCGAAAGATTTTTTGTTAAATGTACATTTATGTATTTTTTTTTTATTATTTCTCATATGGTTTTCGCTACTCAATATTTTTATATTATATATTTTACTGTGTCGTCAATTATATTGCATGCATATTTTACTCTTATGCTTAAGCACAAAATTTTTTACGCCTATATTCGGTATTATTATTATTATTATTATTAGTATTTCTATATTTCTAAGTAAAAATATAATGTGCATGGTTATACTCTTATTCCCTGTGAGAGTTAAGGAGTATCCCAAGGTACTGATATGTATATGTATATATACAGGAATAAATATTTTAGTTATCATAAATCATGTCATACTCATACACACAAATGTTTGATATGCTTTCACTCAATTTTAAAATATTAATTGGAAGCTTTTAACACTATGAATATAATAAAGTATTTACATTTTTACAACTGAGATAGTAAGCGTTTTTACTGAGTAACAGTGAAATAAATCGCATAGTAAGGGATTTCTATGCTGTTAAAATGATTATTTCGCAGGCCCACTGCATACTTTTACCGAGTACTCACTCCATTCTGTTATGGGTTCATTGGTTGGAACTGCAGAAATGTCATTCACCATGCACTGCAGCATTTAGAATTCCCGAAAGCGCCTCCATCAGATGCCTAGAACTAAGCATCGGCGTCTTAAATTCGAATATTGAACTATCCCTTCCGCAACATTCCCCAAAAAATACTTTGGGGAATATTTTTGCGGTTACAACAACAACAACAACAGTCTAATTAATCTAAATCACCTCTTAGTTGCAAGTTTGGCCTCGAAACTCTATCGTTGACTTTTGGCCACTCTTCAACACCGGAGGTAACCACGTTGAGTCGTTTGTTGTTAAATGTGGTAACCAACGTAGAAAGCCGAAAACATGACAGGCAGGTGTTTTTTGGATAATCGTTTATGGATAAAGTTCAGGAAAGACCATTGCAGATTGGTAGGATTCGTCTCTAAACATAATACTCACCGGCATAATAAAACACGTTCAATATGAAATACATAAAAACATAAGAATACACACTAATTAAAATCCTTTATTAGTATTTACATACATACATATATATATATATTTGTACAGTTTATCTTTGCAATATTTACAAACATACATACATTATAATATATACAAAAATATTGTTTTATTTAAATAACCTAGAGGATAATGGGAAACACTACTCTACACACATACACACACACTTTAACATTTTAATCGTTACAATTTTTGGTTTCATTTACACTATATAGTATATTTATATGTATGTAAGTATATCTCTACGAACTCAAAATGATTTATGTTTAAAAAAACATAAAATTATTATAATTTTTATTATTTATTAAAAAAAACACGCGAAAATTAAATTATTATGACAACAGCTTCCATTTATGACAACAACAAAATGTATCTAATTAATTCACGTCAAATGATTTATTGGGTTTATGATAAAATTAAGTTAGAACACGGGATATTTAAATTTACAAAAAAAAATAAAAAAACAAAAACAAAAAAATTGTAATTTTTCAAAACGCTTACAATTATTAAAAGTTTAAAAATTTACTTAAAACTAGTTTAACACATTCGTTTTCGGTTATAGTGACTAAAAATATTTATGGTCCTGGACGTCTAAAGTTTTCGACCACCAACGTCCACATAGTATTACGAATAACATTGAGAATTTGATTACATGCTTTCAAAACATCAAAAACTTCAAGTTATTTATTCCACTGCTTTGCGCTCTAAAAACTATTTGCATGCCTTCGTACGATATTAAAAATCCCGGAGAGTGTAGTCAGCAGCAATAAGGAACCAGTGTTGAACTGAGTAGAAGCCACGGATATGTGCCGCCCTGTAAGAAGCAAATGAAAAGAAAAAAATTAGCAATAAACATTATGTAAATATTTATAAAATTATCTTAAATTATAATAAAAATATTGAAATATAGAAAGGGTTTTCAAGAAGAAATAAAATGCCTATAATTGAATGTTATAATCAAGAATTTAGCTTTGTTTTAAAAATGATTTCGAACATGTGTCCCGCTACGACTGTCTTGAACTATTGTATTTCTAGCAACAATATTCTCTTCCAAGGCGTCAATCGTCTCGGACTTAACTGCGTAGACAAACGACTTCATATAACCCAATAACAAATACAAAAGCGGTTTTAAATGGCACGATCTTGGAGTACACGATGCGAGATAATGAGCTCAACAGAAGTTCTCTTCAAAAAAATCGATGATTTCGTTGACTGTATGAAATGTAGCGCCACCGTCTTGTTGGAATCAAAGTTCGCTTTTATCAACAGCTTCCAATTCAGACACGATAAAGTTATTAATCATGATTCCATAGCATTCCACTTTGGCCATAACATCATGGCCGGCTTCATTTTAGAAGAAATATGAACGGAGATTTCCCTCTTTTGCTTAAAGAGCTCACCAAACACTGACTTTTTGTGTATGTAATGGCGTTTCAACAATGGCTTGTGGATTATCCTTCCTCCTAATGCGACAACTTTATTTATGAACGTGCCCAATCAAGCAAAAAAATGTCTGATTTAGCTTCAATTCATGCAAGAGTTGGTGTTTTGTAAGCTCGCATACCAAGATCCTTCCGCGAAATCTACCATAGAGTGATGGGACACAGCTCCTTCTTCAAGCCGTTGTTCCACAGCAGCAATAGCTTCTTCGGTGCGCATTATATGGCGTCTTTGCTCATTAACCACTAGAGTATACTTAATGCAAAACCAATCCAAGGTTGCTCGAATTACCGACTCTGCTGGGCGATTATGTCCAACGAATATTGGACGTGAACCGAAATATTATTCTTGTAATAAACTGACAAGATTTTCGAACGGTGTTCCGAATTAAAGGCCCTGGTTAAATAGCAGTGGGCTTTACTTGCTTTGTTGGGCTTGTTAGCGTTTAAGGCGCTCATTTAGTCTTACAAGCATTCAATGTAAAACAAGGCAAAGAAAGGGTTCGCATTGATCCTTGGCCTGAAGTCTGTGCGCTATGAGATGGCACAACAAACTGAGTATAAATCAAGTACCAACTGCCAAAAAGACCAATTCCGAAATAAGTATTGCCTCATTGAAAGCCCCATATCTAAAAAAAAAACACCCTTTACTTAAAAATGTCAAATTAAATAACCCGCGAATGCCAAGTGTTCGTAGAAAGCTACTAACTATGTTTGTATGTATGTGCATATCTAGGTTTATCTAATTAAACCACTCAACACCTAAATATAAGGAATTTGTTATTTCCTTTATTTATTTAAATTCAAATAATAAATAATTCATATTACCGCTGCTCCGTAAGAGCTTCAGCCACTGTCAACGCCATAATTTTTTCAATTTCTATGCAGAGTAAATCGCTTACAAGCCATTCATAGTACAATTTGAACAATTAAATGGTGACAGAACAAGGATTATGGTAATCATTTTTTTTCTTTTTATTTTTTTTTTTTAATTTTTTTTAATTTTTTTTTAAATTTTTTTTAATTTTTTTTTTATATTTTTAATTTTAATATTTTTTTTTACAAAAAGATCACATTTGACTCATTGAGGTATGACAATAAATTTGATATGCATTGTTGTTGTTCTTTTGTTATTATTCGCACCATATTTGCAATGAATATGTGCGTGCAGCAATGAATGAGTCAATGGACGTCATTAAGAAGAGGAATAAAATATTAAAAAAAAAAACATTTATTGGAATATTAATGATACAAAATGAGCAAAAAGACTAAAATGAATTAATAAAAACAGCAAAAAAAAGGAAACAATTCAAATGGTCATTGCTTTCTTTTGCATACAAGGTATATAAGTATATATAAATAAATATGTATTTATTATGCTGAGCTTGAGACTTCTGCGAAAATCTATGCAGATGACTAAGGAGCGCATTCGTGGACGTGTAGTGAATAATAAAATTGAAGCATTGTGGCCTACCTAAGCCTGCATGTAGTTACTAAAGCCGCAACGGTAAGCAACAATTCTAATAAAATATTATATCTAATATATACATACAAATGTATGTGTGCGTGTACTCGTCTGTATTTCTTCATAATGAAATTTCGTCTTTCGTATTATTTCATGTAGCGTTCTATTGCAAGCTGAACATTTGCTGATTTTATAGAGCCCACAATTTGTTGTTGTTGTTGTTGCAACAATTGCTGCTGCTGCTGGTGATATTGTTGGCGCAGCGCTTGTGGCTGCTGGTTTATAGAGCCCACAATTTGTTGTTGTTGTTGTTGTAGCTGTTCACCAACCGCGCTTAGAAGCAGACGAGATTAGTCAAAGTCATCGAGTTCATCCAACGGGAGGTCTTGGAAACGAGCAGTTTCGGGCCGGAGCGAAAGGAGGTTGGATGAGTTCTTTAAAGGGATCATGGAAAGAGGTTTTTAATTTCGTGCGGGATCTCATTGTATACAGGACATAAGTACTTTGAGTTTGTCGGGCTATAGGTATTACAGCCGACTACTATATCCAGATTTCAATAGTGCCAGTATCACATGGGACTCTCGAGATAGCTCGAGCCCTTGTCTTGCAATAGTTAGTGCCTGGATTCCCGGAACGCTGCTCGCAGTAAAGAAGCTCATAGAGGTTTTGAGCGAATCCAGTTGAATGGCACTTAAAGCCTATTGGCATGCGGTTCTGTACCGCGGTTCTTGTCTATGATGCTATAGGGTGTCGATATAGTCAAGGACGCCATTTCTAGATTGCCTGGGTGAAGGTTCAGTCTCAAATAAATGTCTGTTGGGGTGCTCCCGATGGTGGCAAACCAGCAGATATTTGCTAACACACCTTAACTTAAGTTGTGGCTTATTTGTCTTGCTGTGCAAGTGAGGCTGCGGTGACATCGCACGGTTTTTTGCTTTTAGCTTCTTCATCTTTGTCTCGCAGGCGTCCAAATCTGAGCAGCATTATTTGCGGCCGGCCGGTCCATTGCCTTGTATATTGCGAGTAACATTTCTATGTCCTTAACCCAGGTGCTAGCGGCTAACGGTTTAACAATTTTTATCAGGTAACGAAGGAGTGCATGCTGTCAAATGGAATTCCCAGTAATTTTGGGTCATTTATTGTCGGAATTTTTGTATTATCGATTTTCAAATCGAGCTCGAATCGATTACGTTTCACCCAGCTGGGTAAAAGGGCCGCCGAGAATTTCGCAGGCTTTAGTTGTAGAAATGGGAAAGGTTGACGAAATATCAGTCTCTTTTCGTACATAAGCTTTCAATATGCTGGCCCAACGCCATCTCGGGCAGTCTTCGGTATGTGAAATTAAAGTACAAAGTATATATAGATGTCAATCAATTTTATTGAAAAAAAATATATAAAACAGTAAGTTTATTGATCATATTTCTTTTAGATTTTTTATTATTACTCTTATTTTTTATTATTGTAAACTACGCTTTGCCATTTTTATGCCAATTTTTTTGGTATTCTCAATATTAAAAGTTGGGGTCGTGCTTAATTTATTTATAATATATTAAAAATATATTCAACATTTTTCAATTTGCTAGAAATTTTTTAGAGCTCACTGAAAAAAAAATCGATTAAAATAAAAGCAAAAATCGATTTATTGGTCTGTGTGCAAGTTCTCAGCATTTGAGGTTACTCATACGCCCCAACAAATGGCAGGACTACAACCTGTAGCTCGTTTCAAGTATTCGAATTGACAAATTTCTTTTTTATAAATTTTACTTTTACTAAAAAACTAAAAAGTAAATTTACAAATTTGAACAATAATTTTGTTAATATGAAAAATATTGTTATTTTGTCATAATTCTTTTTCAGAGCAGCTGATCCGATGTGTTGCAAAAAACAAATAACTAGACCTTTCTTGAACTTTTCATAAAGTTATAAATTCTTATTGCTAAAAAAATTTATTTATCTATTTGTAAACACACCTACACCTATGTATATGTACATACACATTTACGCTGAAATATTTAATATTCCAGAATCAATAGCTGGAAATTTTTAAGCATGTGCAACACATCCATACATATCTATTTGACGCTTGTTGTAATGTCTCCTACGCACCTCAGTGTGTTGGCAAGTGTTTGTGCCACATTCATTGCATTAAGATAATAAATAATGTCTACAAATTCCTTCCCGACGTAAGACCAGCAGCAAAACAGAAAAAAATTGAAAATGTAAACAAATTTATGAGAAATCAAAAAGAAAATTAAAACCTCAAAAAAAAGTAGAGAAAAAGAGAAAAAAGCAAAAGGCATAAATACAAATTAAAGAAAAAAATTTAAAAAAGAAAAAATAAATAAATAAGTGAAAAGCAAGACGTTGTGCGTGAGGGCGCTGGCGCGCAGCTAAAGTGTGTGTGGGCAAAAGCACACTAAGTAAATAATATTGCATACACTTGTATGGGGAAGAGTGCTTACGTGAGGGTGCTGCAATTTTTTTTCTGTTTACTCGGAATATTAACTTGAAATTTGAAGATTTTTGTATGTACTTTACGGAAAGTAGCATACATTTTTTTTTTTTTTTTTTTTTGACTAGAATTATGCTTTTATTCATTTTTCATGCAATGCTGAGCAGAAAGTACACTAACCAAATGTACTGTGGCAAGAGAAAACAAAGTAAGTTTGTTTATTCGAACTCAAGGAACTTCTGTTAATTATTTAACAATATTTAGTTTCCTCGTAATGAATCCGAAAACTTTATTTATTTTTTCATAGTGAAATGTTTAATGTTTATATCGCCTTCGGAGTTTCCCAATTTTTCCTCATATTTTTTTGTTTTTTGATTTAGCAACCTCATTATTCATATTTTTCTACAAATTTCCTTATTGTTAATATCCAAACGCATATTATTCGTATATCTGCTTAATGCCAATTTACACGTGATTCTTTTATAAATCATCTTCTAACGTTATTTGTTTATAATTTAAATGCTATGCACTCAAAAACTATTGTATTTATATTTATTTATTTAGTACTTTTATTTTATGTACACCTGCGCATAAATTTGCTGTTAAACTTGAAAACAAAAAAGTCAGTTCATTATCATGCTTCATTTCTGCTGGGAATAACGAGCGGGTGTTAATTTTTTTCGTAGTTTACCAAAAATATTTCTTAAGTTTTATACACGCATATATACATATTCGTGTGTATTTTATAGTGGCATATTTTTAATGTCGAAATAAAGTTATACAAATTTATTGCAATTACGAAAATGTACATAAAATTTGATTTACCAAACTATAATTAATAAATATTGGTTCATGCTTTATATGTTCTGAGTAATATTACTCTCTTTCTCAAGTAAAATTTCCAATTCAATTATAATTATTGGGGTATAAATTAATGCAGTAGGTTTTTTTGGGCTCATAAACAACATTTTTTCCATCTCTCTGGTAGTTTTTAAATATTGGATGAGTGCATAAGTTCGTGCCCGATTCCGCTGGATGCCGTTCGAATCGTTTGAGAGCGGCGCTCGTGAAAGAAATATATACATATTATATTATATATCGTTAGAAAGGTGACAGTCCGAACTGTAAATCGAGCATAAAATAACTTCATTTTGATTTGAGTTGCTTAGTGAAAAGACGCATGGAAGATGGACAACGAAAAAGATCATATGCGTCATATTATGTTATACGAATTCCGAAAAGGAAGAACAGTAGGCGCTGCAACTAAAGATATTCGCGAAGTTTATTTGGACCGTGCTCCAGCACTCCGCACCGTAAAGAAATGGTTCGCGAAATTTCGTTCTGGAGATTTTAACCTCGAAGATCAACCGCGCAGTGGACGGCCTTCTTAGCTTGATGACGATGTTCTAAGGACTTTAGTTTCGAATAACTCACGCATTTCGACAGAAGAGGTTGCCAGTGAATTGAACGTCAAAAAATCAACTGCGTTTTGCCGTTTAAAAAAGGTTGGGTACACTTTGAAGCTCGATACATAGGTGCCACATCAGTTGAGTGAAAAAAACAAAGTGGACCGTACGTCAACAGCTTCTTTTCTTCTACGAATCAAAAACGAACCTTTTTTGGATCGGCTCGTGACTGGTGATGAAAAATGGATCCTGTACAACAATGTTCAACGCAAAAGAACATGGAAACAGGCACACGAAGGGGCGTAACCAATGTCGAAAGGTGGATTGCATCCGATGAAGACTGCTGTGCATTTGGTGGGATATCCGAGGCGTGATCTATTTTGAGCTCTTGCCAGCTGGAGAAACGATCACTGCCAACAAGTATTGTCAGCAATTGGTCGAATTGAAGAAAGCAATTGATGAAAAACGTCCGATTTTGGCCAATCGCAAAGGAGTTCTTTTCCATCATGACAACGCCAGGCCACATGTTGCAAAACCGACCCTGGCCAAACTGAAGGAGATGAATTGGGAAATCATGCCGCATCCCCCATATTCACCCGACATTGCACCTTCTGATTATCATTTGTTTCGATCGCTGCAGAACAATTTGAATGGAAAAAAATTTAAAAATGTGGAAGACGTCAAAAACCACCTTGACACCTTTTTCAACGAGAAACCGCGCGATTTCTATGAATCAGGCATCCGTAAATTGGTTGAACGTTGGGAGTGGATTGCCGAACATGATGGCGAATACATAATTGATTAATAAAAGCGCTTTCTTCAAAAAGCTTCAATTTTAGTTTGCACTTGAAATCGGGCACGAACTTATGCACCCATTCTGTGAATTTCCAATTTTTTTTTTTATTTATTCGGAGACCTGATTTCTCGAGATATTTTTAATCTGAATAATGTTGCCGTAATCCTTGTCCCATGGTATTTATTTGAGAGTATTAGAGAACTAAACTTAAGCAGAGCACTTATGGTACAACTATCATTCGGAAAAATTCACACTTTTTCATTCAAAACTTAAATACAAACATAATTTTCATGGTAGAACTTACATTGCTTGGCCAAAACTGGCGCACAACAGCACTCCTTCACTTGCTCATAGAAATAACAGGAGCCAACGGCAGCCTGATAAAGCTTTTCACCCACGTAGCAAATGTGCGGCACGAATGGCAGACCCTCTGGAAATACACAAAAAAATATTTTTTTAATGTTTTTTTTTAATATTGAAATAAATATTAAAAATTATTACTCAATATACAAGTGGACTACATAAAATTCTTAGTAACTCATTTACGCATTTTAATGTGAATTTCACAATTCACTTTGATGTATGCAAAATTTGCTAATATAAACAAATATAAAATATCCCAGTCGACAGAGAGTAATTAATATTTTTCAATAACATGCCAAAAAGTGTAATAAAAATTAATATTAAATCTTTTTTGCAAATCAACACCTACAGCTGACTATTGGCTGACCTCTAGTATTCTAATATATTGCACAAAGTAGTGTATATATGTATATATGCAGCCGCCGTTTGTAATTGTAGTTTCACTTTCATGCACATGCAATTATTTGTTTTTGTTTATATTTGTTTTTTGTGTACTCTAGTAGCGTCTATAAAAATATTTTGGTGTAATGTGTAATGAGTTCATAAACTACAAAACGCACTGGAATAATAAAGTTTGGTGGTAAAATTGTTTGGTAAGTACAAACATATCTACCGAGGACTGTAGAAGCGGTGTGTAAATACATATGTATGTATGTATGTATAGTGATATTGTTTTTTTTTTTTAAATTTTTCCAATGCAAAGCAGAACGCGCAATGTCCAAAACTTTTTTATACGGATGTGTGTATTCTCCGTGTGGTCTCATAAAATTTTCCGAAATTTCTTCGCACCCAAGGATATTAAAATGTATTATATGCGTCCAGCATGTCAAAATGAGCTGCAACAACATTTTTTTTTCTTGCAATAAGTGACTATTCAGTCTCATTTTGAATACAACTCACTAGTAGAAGCCACCTAATAAATCTCCATATGTTTTTGTACCAATTTTTCTGCTTTTTAGTCGGCACTGCAATCCAGTAAATGATTCTACAGCATTTTTTGCGAACTCGCAACTAATTTGCAGATTTTTACAGCTTGGAAACCAACAAAAAAAAATACTTAACCTAAAAATCTATTTTTATTATATTTGTAATAAATTTGCCGGTGTTGCTTTAGTACAGTGCTGAGCCTGTTAAAGTTCGCATTTTATCACAGCTTATTTTAAAGTCACGATGGTGAAGTGTTAGAAAGCTTATACGGCTGTGTAAACAGACGTTAACCAATACAAAATGCTCCGCCAATATCGTGTAGGACCTCTCCGAGTGATTCCATACCAATCAAGGCTTCGAAGAAGATCACTCTTCAATGTGTGATTTCTTCAATTTATTGCTGGGGAAAAATAATACAAGCTGCAGTAATGAATAGAGGAGGTACAGGCATCGCCACGTCACTGTCGGCAGTCATTCATCGTAGATAACTTCAACATTGATCTGGTAGTTCAGCGAATCAAGAAACAGCGGCTACGGTGGCTAGATCATGTGGTCCGAATGAATGAGTATACTCCAGTTTTGAAAGATTTCGATGCAGTTTTCGCCAGTGAAAGTAGAGGAAGAGAAAGGTATTTACTAAAATGGAGAATGTTCTGGCTACACCTGGTATTACCATTCAGAAGGAAGGACTGAGTGCACCATTTTTAACTCGTCTAAATTGGCGTAAGCGTTGTCTAAGTCAATAAAGTCGAAGAAAAAGAAGAAGCACGGTTGTGAAAAGTGAGTTAAACCCTTAATACTGCAGCAAAACAAAGCGTCATTGGTCTGAGTTTTCATCACAAAAAAAAAAAATTTTTAAATAAAAAATAAAATAAAAAGCATTTAAAAATATATTCGCACTTTTTCCACCAATAATAATAAACACTTTACTCTATTTCTTCTATCAAAATTCTCGATTTCCTCTTTGCACAAATCTTTTTACTTATTCATCCGTTAATAAATCTATTTATTAAGGTGTGTTTCCGCTGAAGCGTATTTGATTTGTTAACAGAGGCAAAAGATAAATAAAAAATATAAAAAATAAAAATAAAAAACTTTACTACAACCTTGTTTACTAATCACAGCATAAACCACAAGAAAAATATAAAACTTTAACAAATTAGTGGTTAATTTATTACAGAAATTTTTATTTACTTTTTTTTGCTTACTGAAACTTTCGCAGGAAGTACGTCTCAGTTTTTCTTTCTTCACCCTAATAAAAAGTTGAAGTTTTACCTCAATACTTTCGTTCTACATCATTGCACAAATTAACATAAAAGTAAATGTGCAATAACATATAAATTTAATTAGTTTCGCTGCCATACACACGAGGGCAGTTCGAACAGTTGAGCGTAAGCGTAACTTGAATCTTCGCCGGCATTCTTTTCGGTTATGATTGCATTCCAAGCGGCGAATGAAATATCAATTTGTTTGATTATAAAATTCAATGGTGCTTAAATTGTTAAATGCACCTTGTCTCAATACTGTCTAAAACTTTTCCTTTCACATACATAATATACTATAGTTTTTTAAATTATTTTTAAACAAAGTTAAACCATAAAAGAACGCATAGAAACACTTTGCGACGCAATCAATGGAACTGAGAAAGAAGAACTTCTTACAAACTTATGTACTATATATAGTATGTATGATATATGTGCCATATAGTACATATGACCCTACTCTCCACCACTGAAGTACTCCATACATACATATATACGTATTTGTGGGCAAATAGATTTTCCGTTTGAATGCACTTTTACAAGGTAAAATTCTTTTATAAACGCTAAATTGCCGATTGCATGGTTAGGGTAACATTAAAGTTGCAATTAAAATTGTTTATATTAAAATTTTAAAATATTATATATGTTCGTGAAAATAATTGTATGATTAAGAGTGCTATAAACTATAGATATAATAAACTTTTTCTTTTTTGTACATTCAAAATTTTGTTTGAATTAAGTGTGAAGCGAAAAATGAACGCGGAATATATACTCTAAATCATAACTATGTATGTATGTATATATACATGCGTATATATATTTGTAAATAAAAATTAATGTGCTCGAAAAAAGTTGCATTTCAGATGAGCCAAGTGCTATTATGGCAAGAAGTCTTTAACAAATTTTTGGTACCTAAAGAGAAAAGATGGATTAATTTCTTTTGAGCATGAAAAAAGATAAAGCCGAGTTTTTTTATTAGAAATGATTGATATGGAAAAGCATTCAACTATTAACACTAGTAGCCTTGCGTTCTTAATTAAAAAAATGCTGAACTTAACGAAAATTCGACAGAGTTGCATAGCTCAAAATAAGATATTTAACTCGATCATCGATTTTCAACAGGTAACGATGTTCAAAAATCGAAAGCAGCGTAAATTAAGAACCAATAGATCTATTTTCTATGCGTATCTAGTATCAATGGAAAGAAATCGACTCAAGCTAATTGATAAAGTGCTTGGTTATCCCCGATAAATAATTTTCTTAGAAAGAAAACATAAAGCAGGGACCGCATACGGTTCATACTGGTTCAAATGTCCTTACAATGCGGATTATGACCTGGTATACTGGCTTTAGAAACCCAAACATAAGTCTATCAGGTTGAATGGAACATATATAATATGTGGTATATGGTACTGGAGAAATTAATACTAGCTAAGCAGCTATAACGTGTGCACTCATCACTGCTCCATTCGGGACCTAGAAGTGAGAATTCCAAAGGAAATTCCTCCACTTCATCCTTGTACATAAAGGTCATTGCACTGCTCCATCAACTCCCAACACATGTTACGTCATCTTTATACCTTATACGGGTGATTGGACTCATAATGTCATCGGAAAGTAACTGATAGTTCAGTCTTCCTGAGCAGTGTAACGTTTTTCAATCGGAAGTTGAAGGAAACGTTAAATATATTCCCTGTAGTATTATTTCAGTCAGATTTTGGCTGAAGAATTCCTGACCTCTCTCGCTATGGAGAAGAATTATTTTTTGATAAGACTGATTTGAGTGTCGGATCAAAGAGGCTGCGTTGATAACTATGAAACTGAGTTGAGCTTTCGAAAACGGCCAACTTTCAGCTAAATGGGGGTATTTATGGACAGCTAAACCTCCCTTCTGTCGAGCATCTTCTTCAACTTGTGGGTGAGCGTCTAAATATACTTGCACAAGTGGATGAACCTATAGTTTATTATAATCATGATGGATTTTTATGAAGAGCTTTTTTATTTCACCCGGAGGAATTCTCATTTTCCGCTAAGAGGCGACTGCAATAAGGAAAGTTAATTAATTTTTTTCAATAGTGGTTTGGTCTGGCTGGGGTTAGAACCCACAACCTACTACAGCCGACATACGTGTATATACAAAACCAGGTTAAAAATTCACCAGGCCCATATCGCAGAAGTGCACCTTGTAGCTCATATCTTTAAAAATCCAAGAGAACTATCGCGTATTAGAATGTGGCAACTGCGCTGCTGAAAATCTTATAGTAAGACAGCCTAATTTACAAATATTAAATTACATACCTACATACACGTGTATTTGTCATAAGCGTGACTTTTACAATTATTCTGACATAGTTTTTACATACATATATAACCTCAATCACATGTAATCTCTGTCCTCATAACTCTAATCAACAATAACTAAGACAACAAATTACAAAACATTTAATATAATTTTGCGCAAATCATATTTGTGCCCTTTTCAATGAGAATAGAGAGAGCATAAAGTTTAAAGTACAATAGACAAATGGCAAAGGCGATGGTAATTTAGTAATTTCGAGTTGGTAAACTAATGGCGTTGGTAGAGGGTTGTGCATATGCAAAGAGATTATAAACGATATTTTAATATTAAAGTGAAGGCGAAGAACATTATATAGATCCGCACTTACGAAAATTTTCATTAATACATTTATCAGTAGCTGACTGGGTTTCAATGAAATAACCTAAAAAACTTCCACATTATTTTACTTTCAATTACTATGCACCACCCTGTGCATTCAAGCTTATCTGCTTGCTTGATGGCTGATAAAAGCGTGTACTTGCGTGTATTTTTTATAATTTTTTCATAACACGCTCATTATTAAATAATTTTGAAGTAAGC